GTGCCCCGCTGCACTCTGCCGCCAGCCAAGGTATCTCTGGGGTAAAACACCGCAGTGCTGCCTCTGGCCCAGCAGCGAAGGTCAGAATTGGCCTAGGCACCATCTAACTGGTTATATTGGGATACATATTCCAATACATATTGATGTAAAGGAATTTTCCCTTCTTATTAAACTCAAGTCTGAAAGCAGACATGGAAACTGTTGGGAATTTAGTTGACTAGAGAGACTGGAAAAGTACAAAACCATGGCTAATTCCAAGTCCTGCAACTGCTAGATAGCGTGTCCTTGGGCCTAGCTGTAGTAGGATAACAAACAGTGAAAGTGACATGAGAAAAGAGAGATGTAACCCCTAAGGAATGAGGAAGAGTTCATGGCATAGTTTAACCAATAGATTGCTTGGCTTACAGAATATTCATAAGCTTATTACTCGCTGTATAAGTGTTTGATGCTCTCTTCCACAAACGGAATTTGCTTATCACTCATATTGAGTGTCTGAGTCTCCCCTCACCGACAAATGGCTCGTCCCTGCAAAGGCCTCATTTCTGCAACAGGAAATAACAGCTTAGAAGCCATTAGAACATAGTCCAGTAGTGTAGAAGCTGTTAAGTATGATGGGAAGAGGGAATTTGAAACATAGCTTATAAAGAAGTCTGGTTATAAGCTCAACTAAAATTATATAGTGCTCTACCTTTTTGTAGGTCAGGCCTATGTCAGGTATATAGAACAGGAAATAACTTCACGATTTCTTGTCATTTTTCTGTGTAACACTTGTATTACAACTTTCTTATTACAGACAATTCCACTAAAAATACTTCCATTACAATTCTTCTTGAGCCTTCAAAGTTCATATTTTCCAAGATTTCCACTGCGAACACCAGAGCTATGAATTTACTTGCCCTTAATCTTATGAAATTTAATAGCTTCTTGCATTATGAATGCAAGACATTATGAATTCAGGAGGAGAATTTTAAAAAAAAGCACTGTAAGGATTAAAACATCACACCTCTGTTTTACCCTTCCCAGAGTAAGTCCCATTCCCCTTCCTGTTGCTTGCAAAAGCACACAAATAATTTCATGCAGAAGTTTCAGGTCTAATCTGTGTTATTTCAAATACTATATTCTCTGTCAGTTTTAGTCCACAATGGAAATGCCATTAGAATTTATAAGCCATCCTTTTAAAGGACTTGAATTTTTCCATTTTTGCACCTATGCTTCCAAGTTTTCAACCACTACTGGGAAGTTGCTATTGCCACTGTGCGATTATTTTGGTGATATTTTACTTTTTTCCCCAGGTTTCAAATTAAACCATGACTCCTTATTGGTCAAGCTACTTGTAAGGAAAAATGCTCTCAACTTCATTCAGTTTAACTTCCATATCAAAACATTAATGGCTCTCCATGTCTGAATTTCTTTCTTTGTTCATATCTGCTTCTGTACCCACACCATCTTCTTCATTAAATTCCAGTTTCCACCTGGACTGGACTCTTGAATTTGCATTCAGAGACACTCATCCCTGAGTACAGCTGGTTAAACTAAATTGTAATGTGCAACCTTCATTCCAACACTCTTCCCTCCCCACGATGTTTTTAACCACTTATTTGAAGACCTAATGGGAAATGCCCAAGAGGATATACTTTCAGTTTTCTACTCCTAAGAAAAAACTACAAGCTATAACAAGTTCTGAGATGCCAAATACATGCAATTTGTTCTCTTATGTATGTAGCTTGTAATTAGTTAACCTGACAGTGCTCTTATCTCGAGGAACATAAGACTCAGACAGCACAAAAGATTTCAGGATTTAGACAGTATGTATAAAGATTTCTAAGCTAGGAGTGGATGCCACAAGAACTCTGCCCATAGGGGTGAAGAAAATTATTTTTTCAGTTTACAGTATAGGAAGAGTATTGCTGTGCGGTTATTTATGATCATTGCAGGTGGGGCAGGAGCCACCTGCAGAAGTACTGGAAAGCAGTTGCAATAGGAAATTCCAGACAATGGGATGAATCCGGCTACTCTCCAGAGATATGTGCAACAGGGATCCTTCTTACCACAAATCAGCACAAATCAGGGATTCTGACTGTGAACTGCATTCTGCAAAGCTGCCAATTCCTGTCCATGCAGGCTACAAGAGAAAAGCAGCTACAGTGAAAGATGGCCCACAATTGTCCCTCACTCAGTCACCAGGAAGAACACTGACACCACAGTCAGACAGGAGGACCCAAAAAGTCTGTTTAAACAGCGAGGAGCTTGCAAAGCAAAGCTTGGTAACCCATTGACTGGATGCCATGTAGGCAACTAGGACAGCACCTAGATTCAAAAATGAGCTCTGAAGTGTCCCATGTTTGTTTGTGGGATGCCTTTTACATGACACACTAGTGGCACACAAGAGCTGTGGCAAAGCAGCTCCTATGTTCTAGGGAATCTGCAGAGAGACTAGGCAGAAAGCAGAAAGATACTGTTAACAACAGAGCTGATGTTTTTCAAACAGGTAACACATCACAGACCAGTTTCTGGATATTCACAGGAAGGTCTATCCCAGGGGGCTGATATAGCTCAAAGCAGCAAAAGACACAAGACAAAAAGATTTACAGATCTTTGACCATAGGACAGGCTATAGAGACCATAAGGGAGATGCAGGGCTCCAAAAGCTACCTAAAGCCATCCTGTCTCAGTTTCCTGAGGCTAGCCTAGGGCATTAAGCCAGACAATTTAACGGTCAAGCAATTAAGCTCTACTCCATTTAGGAAAAGCAGCATTCCATGGCACACCCCTCCTCATGCACCAGCCCATCAGGCAGAGTCTATTCTAAGTCACTTAGTCTTAGTCACAGTAAGATCTTCAGGAAGATGAACTATGCCCCAAAAGCTGCCATGCATCCTGTCAGAGAGAGGCGCGATGCAGGGCAACCTCTCCATCACCTCTCCGTGGTGGAGGAGCACCTAAACCTCTTCACCTTTGCCGTCCCAGCTGCACGCCAGCATCAGCCACCGGAGTACTGCACGCCAGAATAACTGCAGACCCCTTCAGAGTTCCATCCTCCCTCAGGGACGGCTGAAGCCGCAGAGGGGAAGCAGTGTGGGGAGCGGTGGGCTCTCCAGAGAGAAGAAGGGACACTCACACCCCGGATAATTCTCACACACACCGGTAACAGTGAAAACACGGAATGGCGACGGCCGCGGGAAGACGCGAAGCGATCCCGCCCGCCCACCCGCGGCGGCCCCTCGCCCCTCGCGGCGGCGGCCGGAGGACGAGCCGCCCGCCCGGGCGGCTCTCGAACCCCGCGGGACCGGCCCGGGGCCGCCCGTTCTCTCTCTCCCTGCCTGCCTCCCTCCCGCCCCGCCACGGCAGCATAGCCGCAGGGACCCGCGGCAGAGAAAGCGCGTTCGGCGAAGCGCTCCAGGCGCCCGGCCCTTACCTCGCAGCGGAGCAAAGGACAGAGCAGCGCGGCAGGCGCCGCTATTTAAGCACCTGCGGCCGGCGGCGCAGGACAGGGCCGGGCCAGGCCCAGCCGAGCCGCCCCGGGAGCGCGGGCGCGGCGGCACCGCCCCCACCGCGCCCGGCGCCCCGCCCGGCCGAGGCCCCGCCACTCCCGGCGGCCCGGCCCGGCCCGGGGCGGCTGCGTGCTGCCCGGCTCGGAGACCGCCCGCAGTGTCGGTGTCCGTGTCGGTGTCGGTGCAGCTCGCAGGCACGGCTGTGGCACGCAGCTCTGGAGTCGGGTTTACGTGGCCAAAGTCAAGTGTGACCCTGAAATAGCCGCGGCTTCGAGGTGAGGCAGGCGAGCAGCTCCCCTCAGGTTTCCCATTTCACAGAATCACAGAATATTCTGAGTTGAAAGGGACCCGTAAGAATCCTCGGGTGCACCTCTCCAGTGAATGGGCCATACACGGATAGAACCCACAGCCTTGGCTAGAACGGGCTCTGCTTCAGGAGCCTGTAGTAGTCCCTTAACAACATCTGCCTTACTCCACACACTTGGGCACTTGTTAGGCAAGCTAGAGACAGGCTGAGCCTAGATATGACAGATCTGCTTCAGTGGTGAGCCGCTTTAGCTGGTGGAAATGAAAGAAAAGACTTTCTTGCCAAGTACAGGCAGTGGAAGGAGGAAGAGGCTGGCTTTGGTAGCTGAGATGAGGGAGTTGGGACATGCAAGAAGCAGCTGTGTGAGTAGACAAGGAGCCAGGGAAGGAAGATCAAGATGGGCCATTTGTGAGTGCTGTAGCAGTGGCAGGACCAAGACAAAGTAAGTGACTGAAGTTTGCCCAGGTAGTTAGCATCAGCCTGGTAACCAGTGAGGTGTGGGTGAATCCGTTTGGGTTTATGTGAGTCTAAACAGGATGAGCCAGAACAGGGATGGAGTGATGCTGGGAAAGTAACTGGCAGGAGGAAAAGAGTGATTATAGTCCTGCTTGACAGAGAGATATTTTGGTTAGACAGAATGATTGGGTGAAAATTCTTTGTAACTTTTCACAGGAAATCTGCATTTGGGTAGAGAGCAAGGAAAACTTGGAATTGAATTGATAACCCAAAGAGTGTGTGAAATTTTATGTTGGGTGTAGGAAGGAGCTTGTCAGGGGGTAGAAGGTTTTGAGGTTTCCAGAACTGTAAGCTCCAGAGTGTTAGTGACCCTTTGCCATCTCAACTGCTTTACGTCCTGACTCCATTGACTGCAGTTGCTTCAGTTGTATAACACTCACAGTACTGCTGTGAAGGATCTCATGGTAAGGAGATTGGGAAGTAACAAAATAATAATAACAATAAATTCCTATGTTCTATGATGAGGGAAATATTCCAGTAAAGAGTTTTTAAGAAGTCTGAAGACAATGAAAGAAAATGAGCTGTGCTTGTTTAAAAACACAAGCTGAAGATCAATTCTTGCCAAGAGTGACAGAGCATCAAAGGTAGAATCAGACTGTTTTATGAAGTCAGACAGCAGTGACATAAAGAGATTTAGTTATGTTTATATGTCAGTGTTCCAACACCTGATTCTGGTTCCAATGTTTTTTCAACATAGAGCTTAAATAATTAATAAAAACACTTATGTGGAGCACATTTCTGGATGAAGTATTTTGTCAGGCTAAGCTTTCTTCAGTTCTCTGATACTAGTAAATTATTGGACCACTGATGTGATATATATATGTTCTCCTTTCCTGTTACATAGTTTTTTATTTTATGTAAATACTTCTTATACCAAACTTAAAATGTCAAGAATTTCACTTAAAAAAAAGTCAGTCGTAACAGTTAACAAACTTGCTAATAATTTTTAATAATAATTTTTGCTACCTAAAAATTATTTCTGTCTACAAAGCCTGTCATCAGCTTTTCCCCTTCATCCACTACTTGGATTTCTCATAGTCTTGAGCTTAAGGACTCGACCTCCATAATGACAGAAGTGTTTGAAAGAATATAATTCTTCAGTTCTTTAGATTCTGACTCAGCCTGGTATGAGTTTTCAGTGCATTAAGTTGCTGTTGATTCCTGCCATGGGACTGCAGTCATAAAACTGTAATCTTGAGCCATATGCTGTGATTTAAGAATTTATTAACCATATTTCTTAAACTTTTAAAATAGTAACTCTTGAGCTACAAATAATGCATATTTTAAGTCCACACTGTGATAGTACTTGGCAAAAACAGATGTTTTTACCATACAGAAAGGTACTGAGAGAGTCTTTTATGTTGAGACTGAACATAGCTGTATGACAGTAGTTTTTGGATGTTAGTGCTAGTAGAGAAAGTATTTTTGCCTGGTATGGAAAGCAGTGATAGAGCTATGAAAAAATGCAGTGCGTTCACAGCTAGAGTATGACAGAGAACCCAGAGCTACCAGAAAGTCACTGCTTTTGACATTATTTCTGGGGTTACAGTCAGTAACACTCATGAAGACATTGACAAGAAGGTTACCATTTGGGATGCTCAGCAGAGAAATATAACTGCTCATGATTTATTTATTGGGAATTAGTTGAGGCTATTTTGATGGAAGCTACTACTTATAGCAATATTGTGGTCAAATATAAATGAAATTACTAACTTTGCATTCCTCTTTTTTTTTTTTTTTAATTTAGCAAACATGTTTATAAATGTCAGACGGCTGGTTTGAATTGTTTGCCTAAAGATGATGGTCTCTAGAAACAAGGGCACAAATGCAGCAAGTAAGACTAAATGCTGGTCACTTCTAGATTAAAAATCTACTGCATGGAAGAGATGTTAAAATGTTGTGTGTAATGTAAGATGGGTCAATAAAACCACAGCTGTTGCAATTAGACGTGTGAAATACTTGATGTGCTGAGACAGTGCTTCAGCTCAAAACATTAAGTGTGATCTACAGAATGTTTTCAGATGTTTGAACACTTAAGGAGAGAGAATCCAGACTGTCCTAAACTGTCTTGGTGAAAATGTAACCATCATAAAAATATCTAGTGTTCATAATTCACAGCACGCTTTGAAGCTTTGCAGAAGATCCTTGAATCAGCGAGGCTGATGCTACTCGCTTTGTTTCAATGACAGCTGACCTTTTGTTGGTATACTCTGAAGCAGGAGCTCCTGAAGAGTGCATGGAGGAAATACATGGTAAATTTCACTTTATAATCGCTATTTGCTTGCTGTGATGGTATGGTACAAATGAGATGATGATGCAGAAGCCAAGAGTCATCCAGATAATTTTGGTTTATTTAACCAAAACACAGTCAGGTAGACTCAAAAGATCTACACTTAGAAATACAAGTATATAGAACATTTATTTTATTAAAATTATCCATTTTTAGGCTTAGAAATGACAAAAGCATTGCTGCCAACATTCAGTAAGCTTTGGAACCAAACTTAATTAATCCTGAAATAGTTATTCTGTGTTCTTCAGTAGATAGCTACAAAAGAATCACAGGAAAGAGTATGTTGCTGGCTATACTATAAGGAAGGATAAATGGGGGACTGACACCCTCCTCACAAAACAGCAGCAGCCTTGATCTGTGCCATTTGAACGCTCAGGCAGTGCATCTTTGTGACCTGTGATGATCCCTTCTCAGGAGCAACAGAGAAATACACAATAGGAAGACCAAGCTGACTGCTCTCTTCAGGGCCTGGGCATGCCAGGGGTGTCCATGACTTGGCTGATGTTCACCATTTTCTCTTAATAAATCATCTTTCCAAACCTCTCTGCTCCATCCATCTAAAAGGTGTGTCAATGCAACAGTATTTCTGTTAGTCAAGCATAGAATCACAGAATCAGAATGGTTTGGATTGGAAGGGACCTTTAAAGGTCCTCTATTCTAGCCTCCCTACAATGAGCAGGGGCATCTCCACCTAGATCAGGTTGCTCAGGGCCTTGTCACTTCTGACTGTGAATGGTTCCAGGTGTGGGGTAGCTACCACCACTCTGGGTGACCTGTTTCAGTGCTGCACCACCATCATCATAAAATATCTCTTCCTTATACCTACTCTTCATCTACCTTTAGTTCAATTTAAAACCATTACCCTTCATCCTGTTGCAACAGGCCCTGCTGAAAGGTCTATACCCATTTTTCTTATAAGCCCCCTGTAAGTACTGAAAGGGAGAGAGAAGTGATTAAAAATTAATGAAATTCAGAGAGATTATGCATTAACCATCATAAAAATCAAACAGCTTTGTTTTGGCCAGGAGAGGTAGATCCATATCTCAAATCTGTATCTTAAGTTGTTGGGTTTGCTTATTCTGCTTGGATTTGATTTTTAAAAGAATGGCATGATAGCTGTTTCAGTTGGTGGCACTGGAAAGCCATCTTGCACTGTGCTGTGATGACACTGGAATGAGGAAGTGAGCCCAAGACAACGTGTTGCACCCATCAGAACAGGGGTCTGGGGCAAGACAACCTTCCCTGGTTGAAGGCTATGCTGCTTCTCACAGTCAGGAACTGAATCCTGTAGAAGGGCACCTTAGTCATGCAGAGGAAGAAAGGAAAGAGGAATGCAGATATCTTCTATTCTTATCAGTGTAGGTAGAGATCTACTCTGGACTTGAGGAAATATTTCTATGTGTTAGAAAGGCATTTTTGAAATCCTAAAACACATGTAATTTTCTGTTCAAACTTTTACCATAGGTGCCCCTATTTAAAAGGATTACAAGACTGGTAGGTTGGATATACACTTAACCAGGAAAAAAATGTACACTGATTGTATGACATTGACTGAGTTCCCTTAGCTTTTAAACGTAAATGAGGAAGTGGCACCAAGTCAGGAGAAAGTACAAGAAAGACATTGAGGTGCTGGAGCATGCCCAAAGAAAGACACCAAAACTGATGAAAGGTCTGGACCATGACTCCTATGAGAAGCAGGGTGCTGGGTTTGTTTAGACAGGAGAGAAGGAGGCTCAGAGGAGACTTTATCACCTCTACAGCTGCCTGAAAGGAGTGAGGAGCTGGGGGTCAGTCTCTTCTCCAAAGTGATAAGCAATAGGACAAGAGGAAAAAGACTTGAATTGTTACAAGAGAAATTTAGTTTAGATATCAAGAAATATTTTTTCACCAAAAGGGTTGCAAGCATTGGAACGATCTGCTCAGAGAAATGGTCAAGAAACCATCCCTGTAGGAAATTTAAAGATATGCAGACATGGCACTTGGAACATGGTTTAATGGTGGACTTGCCAGGGCTGGGTTAGTGGATGGACTCAATGACCTTAAGTCTTTTCCAATCTAAACAATCCTTTGATTCTGTGACCCCAGGGAGTTATTGTTCATTCCTAGGCTACAAGGTCACTGCTTACTTTGTGTGACCTGGGACATTTGTATTTTGGTTTGCTAGAGATCTGCATCCAGATGTTTTTGTGCTCCCACTCAAATCTGTTTTACAGAGCTGTAGTTGCTGGTTTTATTCTTGACCAAATTACAGCATAGTTTAAATAAAAGCAAGACCTTGAATTCTCAGACTAAGATCAAGTCCCAAGTGTGAGGGAGGTGAGGATTTGTTTGGAAGTATACAATGAGATCTGTCATTTTGATATTTGCACTGCCAAAAATGATTGAGTCATCAAAATGTGCTGGTTTTCATCTATCTTAGTGAAAGAATCAATGTTTATACAAGAGACATGGTCACCCACTACCATCAGTGTGCTAAGAGCATCCATCAGAGCTAAAGATGCTGTACTTGGCCCTCTTGGATTGACACATTGAATAGAAAATAGTATCTCTATTAAAGTATAGGGCAGAACTTCACGAGGTTGTGTGCCAGACATTATTGGCTGGATAAATATTTTGTTTGCTTCCTGGCTGGAAGCCATACACCTACCAAAGCTGCTCTGTAATTCTCCTCCTCAGCTTGACAGGGAAGAGAGGATATAACAAGTCTCATGGATTGAGACAGGGAGAGATCGTTCATTTATTAATGTCATGGGCAAAACACACTTGACTTGGGGGAGTTAACTGAATTTATTACCACTCAAATTCAGAGCAGAGAAATGAGAAGTAAATCTTAAAACCACTTTCCCCTCGGGCTCTACCTCCTCCTCACAGCAGTGCAGAGAGATGGGGGATGAGGGTTACAGTCATACTTTGTTCCTGCCATTCAGGCAGAGGAGTCCTTCTCCCACGTCAACATGGGGTCCCTTCCACAGGAGACAGTTCTCCATCAACTTATCCAATGTGAATCCATCCCAGAGGCAACAGCTCTTCAGGACTGGTGCAATATGGTCCCTCTTCCACAGGGTGCAGTTCTTCAAGGACAGGATGCTCCAGTGTGAGTTCTCCGCAGGGTGACAAGTCCTTCCAGGACTATGGATCTCAAGATCCTCCATTCTTCTGTGGCTGCAACTTTATCTGTGCAATAACTTTTTTTTGCTTCTTAAATATATTACCCTAGAGGTTCTGCCACTGATGGCCTTGGCCTTGTCCAGTAGCAGGTCCAATGCCATGCTGGCTGGCATTGGCTCTATAGGACATGGGGAAAGCTTCTGATGACGTTTTTTCTGACAACAGTGCTTTTGCCGTACATGGAATACTTTTTGCTACCTAGGTTCTTATCAGTTGAGATGAAGTAACTCCTTAGAGTTTGATAGTATAAAATAGACTCAAATCACTGGTGTTCTATTCCACTGGTTTTGCAAGTCCCACAGCTTTTTTTTTTTTTTTCAATAGCCTCCATATTGATTTTAAAGGAAGGTAAATTAATAATATTTAGATCAATGTGTCTCCCTCTGCATTTAACATGTTAGTGAATTTTGTTTAAAAATTGAAAAAGGAAACAAGGATTTTTATCTCATTCATGACCAGTACTTTCACACATCATTATAAATGCAGTATAAGTTGTTTTGGGTTTTTTTTTGTTTTGTTTTTGTTTGGTTTTTTATGGGGGCCTTGTCTAAGCTGATTTTTTGCTGATATTTTGCTTGATTTATCTATTTATTTTGCTGTTATAGATTATGATAATTAATTTCTATGCAATCTCAAAGTTTGTTTTCCCATATTGAGTAATTCATCATCACAGGAGTAAGGCAGGTTATTGTTTCTTTGAAGTGTTGCAGATGCATGTCTGTGCATGGATGTATCCAGGAAATAGAGCTGAAAGCCTTTCTTTAACTAATAGTACTTATGGGATGCTACTGCAACACACCTAAGCTACTTGCTGTCCAATGTTAAAAGATATTAAAAGTCTGTGTTGTGACCAGCACTACAGGTTGTTGAATTCTCTCAAACTCAGATTTCTCTTACTTATTCAGGAGACTTGAAGCCAGAAGTAATTTCTGAAAGCCTTGAGACAAAGGGAGAGGATTCATCTATGTGCCATGAAAAATTTCTGAATATTGATCTTATCTTTTTTCTGACAAATGGTCCCTTTCCCTTTTTATACTATACTCCAAACAGGGAATCACTGATACATCTTGCATTTTCTGAGGAAAGATTTCAGAAACATAAGAAAAAAGTGCCTAGGTGCCCTCCACCAAGGTTTGTATCTTCTCTGCAAGTACACAACTATATTATAGTGTAAGAATTCATCTTCATGGTAGAGCTTTTATTGGAGGGATAAGAACATTTGACTTGGTCCATAATATGCGCCTGAATCATATCAAACATCTTAATTGTCTTTAAGGGACTCATATGATCTATCATGGATATAGGAAAACATGGGTGGAGATTGCAAGAAGTTTGGTAAAACTTTGGGTCTTTGTCCCTGCTTTGAGCTTGGGAAGTGACTAGGTGATGTTCAGAGTTTCTTCTAGCCTCAGATCTTCTGTGATCCCATGAAGATCTGCAGACTTTTCACAAGATCTAGTGCTGGGTGACTTTTTAAGAATAGTTCAGGAATATCCTTAGTAATCCCAAAGGGATGTTTTTTTGTCCCTACTTATATGATTCTATAGCATCCTCCTGCCATTTTGGATGACATAAAGTGGTTAAAAACTGCACTTGAAACCTAGCATATTTTTTTGTCCTCCAACCTCATCTGCAAAGTTTCAGCTTTTTTAACATCAGTAATTGGAAAAATATTAGATATTATGAAGTCTGCAGGAATCCACCAGAATGGTGTTTAAATTTGATTCCCTCTTCAGTTACATCTTACAACTAATTTTTTAATTATGTTCTTGCATTGCTCTAGTTATAAACCAAATGTTGTGTACTTCTAAATCAGGCATCTTACATAAATCCTTTTTTCCTTTGACCCTATTATTCTTATGAACCAGATTTTCAACCTAATCCTAAATTAGTAGACCTTTATTTGGTACATCCATGATTGACACTAATTATCTTAAATGCTTTTTAAAATTTTCTTACCAAGTTCTATATTATAGTTATTTGGATTGACACCCTTTCTTTTTTTTTTCCCTTTTTTTTCTCCTGTAATGGTGTTATCTTTCTTTTAATCTTCTAATCCTTTCCAGTATTTGAGAATCACTGAAATAAAAATTAATGATCCATAGTATGGCTTATTCAACTTCCTAAATTCTTGGATGTTGTTTATCAGATATGCTGGTTTAAAAATATTTATTTTAGTAGATGATGTATTAATATCTCTCTTTAGATACTCTTGGATTGCCAAGTATTTTCACCATGTGACTACATGATCTAGATAGCCTGAAAGAGATATGGCAAAATATTTACAGAATACTTTTCTTTCTCACTCTCTTTATTTATACCAATTCTAGCATATCCAGCTAGTATGGATCCCATAACACAGTGGAAGGGAAACATTTTTGTTGTTTTTTAGAGCAAACACCTGTTTTTCACCCTCAGTGAAACTATCTCCATGGACTTTCCTACCCCTGTATTTAATTTTCTTTTCTTATCAATCTTGTATAGTTTATAATTTCAGGATTTAAAGCCACTATTAAGAGAAGTCGTCCCTTATGTCATTGGAGCCAGCTGCTGACTGTGATTTAGTAGGCCCAGGCTGGTGATGTGTTGTTGTCTGTATTGGGAGATCTCATTCCCTATTCCATCTCTACTCCTAGGTCAGGAATCCCTATTTGCCAGATCCTCCTGCAAGATGATTCAGCTGGCTTAACTTAGAACAGAATTTTCTTGCTTTCTGACTTTGACTTATGTTTGGTTAGTAAGCAGATATGTACAGAGGTGGTACAGAGCTGATACAAGGGGTGTTGAGTGAAGATGGACAGCTTGGCCCATGCCTTTTGACAATGTTGAACTATTGAGGTAACTGCTCATCATGAAGCTGTAGTGGAAACTTATTGGGTTGTGTTCATTTATGATAGGCATCTCACTCGAAGGATTATTGAATTATGAGCATATCCAAAAATATAAAAGTTGACCATTTGTAGTAACACCTGGCCATACTACTTGAATCTGATTACTAACAACAAATGCAATCAAATAATTCTGACTTGGTTGTCACTAATGTTTGGTTGTGCAGTTCAGGTAGGCAACTTAAAATGACGTGTTATTTATGATTCTTTGTCAACTGTATCAGAGAGTTTCATTTATGTCTGTTTCTTTCCATAACTGCTATGCTCCCACCCCCACTTTTGAGCTCATTCTGGCACTACAAATGTATTGCCCATAACCTCCTAACAGCCAGCAAGTTTGGCAGTTTCTACAGAGTCCAGGACCTTCCTAGAAGAAAACAGCTTGCTGTACAAGAGCACTGAATTTCTTAACCCAGGCAGGTGTTCCAAAGGAGTTCTCCAAGATTAGACACGGATGACAGAAAACCACTTGAAAGCTAACAGTAGCTGTGTAAACCAAATTGTAAGCAGACTGTAAGTCGCTCCAATATGATCCTTACCAGCAGCTGTGTGTTTTTCTGATTTAAAAAATACTGACTATAGAAAGGAGGTCTGATGCAGTGTGCCTTATTTCTTGAGGCTTACATCAGTTTCTTCACCATAGAAATAATTCCACATATTTTTAACATGTTCCGCACCTTGGTAAGGTTGCTACTACTGTCATAGTTGGTTATAGAGATGACAGTGGAGTATATGCCAACACTATTCTCTGTAGAGCCAGTTACACATATGGAGAACAATGAAAGATACATGTGATGTGATCTAATACTCATTTGAATAATTACTTGCAAACATCTGGTTAGATATGATTGTGTATCTGTTGTAAACATACAATTCACATGTCTTCACATATAGACAGTGGCAGCAATAACCATTAAAACACCTGCTTTGCTAGGAGAGAGGCAAAGAAGGGCTTCCTAAACTTTCATGGAGATACAGAACAAGTGTGGAACACTTTTAAATGTTGAAGAGAATAGGAGATCCTTTAACTAAAGGCAAGTGTCCAAAGAGACTTAACAAGAATTTTAAAACAATTGTATAACCAGTCTTTGTCTGAACAGATAAGTAAGATATTGTTCCTTACAAACACCAGCCAATGTCTTAACAATATTCTTATTGTTTTACAATATTTTACAATTCCAGAAAAAACAACTGAAAAGATAACTGAATGAAGTAGCAGGAGATAGCTAATCACCACTTAGCTTTAGAGGGGTGATGCAAAAATTGGTCTTCTGTTCAGACTCTGTTGTGTATGGCATCATATGCTGTGAATACTTTACAGTATGTAAGAGGACATAGCAGGACACTGGTGCTGCTTGTCATACAAACAAAGCATTTTTGCTCCACACACGAAAATTATGGCAACAGTGTTGTCAATAATTGAAATAGTGTACAAGTCTTCTGGATACTACTGCCCCTCCTGTGTGTTGATACAAACACCTTTACTGATGACCTAGACAGAAGGTATAGCTGAGTCCATGTTTCTGGGCCCAGAAGGACTCCAACCTGGTAAAACTCAGAACATTGTTTGCTTATAAACTGATGCTGAGGTAACAGTTACCACTTCAAGAACAGCGTAACACTTTTTTGAAAGTTTCTTTTACAATTTGTGACAACAGCTGGTTTTTCCTAATCACAAGTACCATGAAAAGCCATAGACTGCACTGTTGCTGCCTACATGAAGGATGAACTCCTTCCTGAGAAACATTATTCAACGGTTTCACACTTCTATATCAAAACCATGTTACTGTAGGACTCTTTTGAGGCGGAGAATCACTTGGAGGAATGACTACAAAATGGTATTTGCCAAAAACCTCTTGAATTCTAAAGAATGTTTTTGTGGCATCCCTTGGGGAGCAGCTGGCAAAAGCACCTTAAACAGTGTGGAAAGGTCATAGCTGAGGAAAATGGGAGGACAGGTTCCATATTTCTCTCACTGGGAAACTTTTTGTTTCCTGTAAGCAAAGACTGGTACTTAGGTGAGTGCAGTAGTGACCAGTTCTAGCTCATAGCTAGGTGAACAGAGAACACATCCTCCATGTTTTGCCATCATATTAAAGACAACACTTCTATTTTGAGAAGTTTGATAGTATTCTCAAGTATCTTGCAAAAATGCCGATAAAGTAACTCTAATGGCCCATCATCATGAATTTAATTTTCAACTCCTCTATTGGAAAGTTGTGGCATACATATTCTTCCCTTAATCTGCAGGGAACACTTGTGCCCACATTAATTTTTCCCTGTAATTTTCCTATTCTCTCTCCTGTGAGTGTAGTGTTTGCTACCCTATTCTAGCTAAAGAAATTACGCCAGACTAATAGCGGTTGTCTGAGGACCGAGTTTCTTGTGCTAGATGTACAAGATGCAGTTTTTACATTGAGAAATCTTCTGCATTTTAGTCCCCAAATAAAACTAAATTTATTCTGTAATCTCACTAGAAGCAGGGATGCAATCTACTGTTTTCAATCAGGCGCTTGGAGTGTGCTGTCAACCTAGGAACTGCTCAAAAGTGAGAAGGGACTCATGCACAAGGCCATGGAATTCTCACCTGAGAGGGAGAAACTTGCATTGAAGAATGAAGTCAGGTGCTTAGGGGCTTAACCTTCTGTCTGTTCTCTGTCTTTGATTCTCTGTCTAAATGCATGGTCCTGTAAGGTGTCAGAGAAAAAGTGTTCAACAGAGATGGAAGGTGAACAACAGTTTTTGAGCTTTTGAGTTGGGCTTTGGTTTTCTTCCACCCCTGCATTAGTGCATCTTACCTGGATGCAATTCATTGGTACTAACATTGGAGCAACTTTAACATTTCTGTTATGACTGTTTCAGTTCAGTGATGATGCTCATATAACCTACCAATGACAAGAGTGGGAAACAGAAGGGAAGTCTTATAAAGCCATGGATATTATAAGAAGCTTATCAAATAGCAAAACAGGAGAGGACATCTGGAGGGGAGAATCATCAATTACTATAAAAATGGGCTGCTTCCTTAACCAGGATGTGCTGTGGTGTTCTCCTCCCAGGTTTCGAGAACTTTCTTTTCTCTGGGAGTTATGGTTGGCTGTAGCCCCGGAGCCCCTCCTATGATTCATAACAGTTGGTTACTTTGGTATATCAATTATGTTTCGCACCTCCAAATATGTATTACTATTGGTTAGCCAGGTTTCCCTGCCTTCTTCCCCCCTTTTTCCTTAAAACCCTCTCCCGCCCCCTGCTCGGGGCCATTTGCTGGGTGGTTCCCCTCCTTGTTGGCTCTTCTGTAATAAACCGACAGTTTACCCCCAGCAAGTGGTCGCCTCCTAATTCGTCTCACACCGCGCTGCTCCGAGCTATCACCCAGCTCAGCCCGAGGCCAAGACGCCGAGGGGGGCTGGCTTCAGCTGTGCAGGGGCCCTGGCCTTCACCTCTCACCAGATAGCCGGATTCCAGGGCCGTGTACGCCCACGCGCAGTGCTGGCGTAGTAATTTATTATATAAATATTATATTATTTGAGTAATTACTGAACACATTACCACTGCTAACTTTCTGGAGTAGAAAACATGACTTAAGAGCTGAGAACTTGAAGAAAACAGGTTGGGACATGATAAAAGGAAAAGTTGAATAATCAGAGTAGTGAAATTGGCATGATTTACAGCTTATGATTATTAACTTTTCTGAAAAACCTCCTGAGTAATAGTAACTAAGTCACAGAACAAGATTGTTAGAAATAAATTCAGCTAGAACAATGATAAAGATATTTTAGGTTACAGTAATTAAAGTAGCCATCGCAGATTGAAAAACAAAAAGAATTTATTCCAAAGGAAGTGAAAAAAAGCAGTTACAGAAAATGCAGAATTAGAGCTCTAAATGTTCAGTAAGTAATCCAGAAGAGGCCTCTTCTTTTAAGACTGTATGCCTTATATTGGTTATTGAACGAAGTAATGGAGAATCCAAAAATCAACAACATATCAGTAAACATGGAGGTCAAAGTAAGCCGAGCAGAATACTTACTGGTGTAATTTATGTAGAATTAAAGATAAAAATTCTGTTTTCACTTGAGAGACTTTTTGATCAGTCCAATCAATGCTAACTCAACAGTAGATGTGTTATCTAATGCTTTAGTACTTTGAACTGTTTTTAGCTTATGCTATGCTTGGAGGAATTCCTGACTTTTTTTCTTGCACGCTCTTAAGTATAATTTCCCTTTCACAACAACTGAAATGGAAACCAATTATGTATGAATTGCAAAACTTAAGATAGGCATCTTAACATCTGTGTATCTTAAGCTTTGCAAACATACAAGACTTGAAATGTAATACTTTTTGCCATGATGCAAGATCTTGTTTTTATGTTAGATAGCAAAACTTGCCACAGTTGTAAATCTCATGCTGTTCCAGTTCATAATTAAATACCTTAGCTCCTTCAAATACCCTACAGAAATGTTATTTTGCAGTGCTAGAGATAGGTTTCCCTGAAAAACTACCTGATTGTGTAGTTAGATAATCACAAACCTGCTTGGACAGTAGAGATCCAGTTTGCAGCAGTTATGAGCAGTATGTGGGTGCAAGTCAAGTGTTAAAAGAAGTGCCAGAGCAGCCTCAGTCAGATCTGTTACACTTTAAGTTCAATGAATACCAGAAGAACTGAGCAGCACCTTTTTACATTTCTAACCAACAAATGAGGTGCTGGGGGATCAGAAAGCAAATGACACATTAGCTCTCCAAGGCTTAGCCTGTTCTTTGGCTGGTGTTGACGACCAGACTACTGTGTTACATGGACCAGTCTGACCACTGCGTACTTGTGCTCTTCATTCCTGCCTGCCAGAAGATAAGAATCAAGCCCTTGGACTATTGCTTTCCTGCATGACAAGAATGGTACCTCTATTGCAGTGATATCCAACCAGCTGAGAAAGTGAATTTAATAAGTTATTACTTAGTAAGCCTCTGCAGGCCCTGGGATTAGTAGGAACCAAACAGATGCAAAAACATTTGTTCAGTTTCAGCTTCTGTTCTGTGCTCAAAGCTTAGAAGGACTAAACCATACAGACTGCTGGAGAAGTTCTAAATTGTCTACTCTTTTTGACTGGTGAACATTAGAAATCAGAAGGAATTATTTCAATCTTGTCACTAATTCTTCTCCTGCACACACAAGATATAGGCTCATAAACAAAGCCAATGTACAGCATTTGACAGCACTATTTACAGACAGCAACTCATGTCCACGAGTCAAGATTTTTCTCATAAACATATCCAGTTTTGCCTTATCTAATTTATTAGTGAAGTAAATCAATTTAGTAAAGGCGTAGGGCACTACAGACATCTCAGACATTACGGTTTAGTAAATATGAAATGTTCTAGAAAAGTCATTTTTCCATTTACCTTCTCTGTGATGATTTTAAATATATACAAAAGAGTTCATAATGATCTCTACCCTTTATCACTTAAAAATTAGTATTTTCAAATGTTCAATGCAGGCATGGTTTTTCTCTATTACCTTATTGCTTAGAAGAACTTTACTGCAAAAGTACAGGCAATTTAAATCAGTATTTAAATTATATATTACATGTTTATTATGGGTGAAAATTTTTAAAATTTACATTTAATGAAAATTCAGAGTATTTACAATTTTTGAAAGATAAACTTGTATGTTCTAATTTACAGTCTAATGTAGTAACAATTCATAAAAATTCAGGTCCTTTAGAGTTGTCTTCACAAATTAATTTTCTTAGGAGGCAGCTACAAGGGACATTGCTGTATACACAAGCAAGAACCAGCTTGCTACATAAGTTTTTTTTTATTTTAAATCAGATAGCTACACATACTTTTTACGTTGTTTATGAGTTTCTTTACAAAATGTCTATATAAACTTGTATGGCTTCAAAACTGTAACCTGCACCCAAAGCAAATGTATGAAAAACACCAGAATGAAGGCTAGCTTAAAAGTGCTGAAACATTAACTACTTCATTTATCTTAGAAATTAATGTAATACTTGATTAAAAATAGCAATAATAGATTTGGGTTTTCATTAATAAAATATTGTTGTGTTAATCAGTTTGATTGCAAAACAGGTTACAATTAAAATTCCAATATAAAGACCACCATTTTATGAGTTGTAAATTTATCATCAATAAGATTAGCAAAATATAGGAGCCAAATATACTCTTCCAATCCAATCTACAGTACACAATGTTCTTAGCACTAACAATGAAACTCTCACCGGCAAAAGTGTCTAGAGTACACGACAATTTATGCAGCTTCTACAAAGGCATAATTTCTTGTAAAGCAGACCAATTCATTACTGGCTTTGCATGAATTAACTCAAGCATATTTTACTGTTTTAATAGAGAATTTGAAATACATACTGGTATGCTAAATGTTCATTTGAACTTGCCAAATGCAGGTTATTGAATTATTTTGCCCCAATGCTTATCATTTCAACATTACAAAAAAGCTTGGTAATACAAATACATAGAAAATTTTCTAAATTAGTGACTTGCTTAAAAAAATTGTTACTGATGTGTCAATTCCCTGTGCTTAGGCTGTAGCAAGCAGATTAGATTACAATACAAATATTGAAACTGGTAGCTATAAAAAAAATGAACACATGACAGGATTTGTCACCCTGCAGCCATAAAATATTCTTTACAATGTCTCCTGAAGTACTATGTGTACATTCACATCGCACATCCCCAAAACCACTCGAAGTCTGAAGACTTATAGGCAAAGCAAAGAGTAATGCTGTTTGCTTTCAGAAGTTTGTTTTTCCTATCCTCACTGATTTTTCAGATTCTTCTCTTTGGTGATATTAAAATTAGTTAATTCAAAAGTTTCCGAGTACTGCATGATGCAGCTCCCTTTACCAAAACCACATTTACTTGCAATTATTCATTGAGGAAATAATTCAGTGTTTTAAATTTCTTTTAAAACAAACTATAATTTTTGCAAAACCTGCCTTCTAAATAAATTGCAGTAAAAAGAATTTTTATAAAGTTCTGTGCATTATACAAACGCCATGCTTTCTTGATGAAGAGCCACACTTTGTAAAAGGAAGTGAGGCATATGAGTATCAAATTAGATAGGCACAGGCATTTTTAAAAGGCACAAAAGTTATGCAATTAATATAAAAATAAATTAAATCTACTGCATTAACTCAAATAATAACAAGGCCCAAAAATTTTTACTAACTGCGGAAGTAAATCTCTGCTGTGTTTTGCAATTTGTAACACATTGCACTTAGTTAAAAAAACCCTATATGAAACAACTTACATTTTAATAATATATGATACATGGGCATCAAGTTATTTTTATACATCTCTAACTCAGCTGTTCTTGTGTTATGAATGGAAAGAAGAACTACACAAGACATAGCCTCTATCTTTATAAACTGTCAATTAAATGCTGGCAATTAAAGAATCTGAAAAATGAGTATTACTTATGAAAAGCTCAAATATTTCTTACTAGATCCCCTATATTTTAGGTTTAATGTTTACAGTACAGCATAAAATTTCATACTTCCATTACAACTGTGGATTACTATTTTGACTTCATCTATACAAAGTTACTAATTTTTCAACAAATTTTCCCAAGTATTGCAGTTGACCATTTACAGACAGTGTTGAAATTAACTTCAGTGCTATTGTAAAGTAATAAAAGGTTTTCAAAATGACTTTAAAAGTGCATTTACTTTCTGTAGTTTAGCCTCAAAGTAAGTCAATATTTTTAAAAATTAATGCATGTTAAAATAGTGTTTGAAAAATAGAGAGGGCAGAGTTCCTATCGTCACAAGTGTTTCTTGCACTCCTGATCCAATGACTTTCATAGGTACATCAACAGTCTGCCATATACCGTCCTGAAAAACAAAGGTAAATTTTTTGCAGTCAATAGATAAACTAGATTTTGTCAATATTTTCCTTGGAGCAGTCCGAATACTGTGGAAAAACAAACTGACTTGTCAAAAGCGTTTCAATAAAGAGTAACTATTTAACTCATCACTCATTTAACAGTTTCATATTTTAGAATTTAACACTAGAGAATATACAACATTAATTTGAATATATAAGCATGTCAGTGTCTTACCAGTGGCAAATCTCTTCTTAAGAAGGGAAAGCCGATAGCCAGTGCCTACGAGTTCCACATCTGCTCCTGAAAGGGTGCTTCCTTCACTGATGAATTGCACTGCAAGTGTTGCTGGTTTACTGGGTCCTCCTGAAAGCTCAAATTTTGCCCTGAGGGATCCAGAGCCTATAAAAACAAAACTGAGAAGCTGATTGTTTTGCAAAAACAAAAGGTTCTCTCCAAATTTTTAGTAGTAAGAAGTGAAACTAATATGGTGACCTCTGACATCTCTTCCCAGTGGCAGTCCTATATACACTTTCAAAAGCGGTAAGAGTACAAGTCTGTTTTATCCAATAGTCTGCAAGACTATCCAAAACGTGGGTATCAGCCTGGTAATCACTTACTAATCTGATTGGTCCCTATAATAATTTATACTTGCTGGTCTCTAAGTACTTACTACCATCTATCTTGTGGTATATAGTATCTGATTGATAGAGAGGAGAAACTACCTGTTTTTCACTAGCAGAACATTTAAGAGTTGTCATGATCAATATGGATGAAAGTACATGAACAAAAACATTGGAAGAAATGAGGTTCTACAGTAATGCACCCAGAGGACAGAAATTACTGTTTCCAGTAAAGACAAGGTCTGATTAAATACTTCTCATAAATTTCAGTTGATTTTTTTCAGAGACAGTGGTGAAGTGGTATCACTTTGATAGTATTATAAAGCAATAATAGATTTATATAGATTTCTGTAGGCAATGAAAGGCATTTTTAAAATCTCCTCATTGCTACTACTTTTTAGTTTTAAAACAGGTCTTTCCTTGCTCTTGCAAAGTGTGCTGGGAAAATGAGATTTAAATTAAAATTAATGGAATAATTTTACTTTAAAACAGCTTGCTATTCCTATCAATAAGAACTGCTAAATTACAAGGAAAGTTAGTAACAGAAATGGTACTGAGCTAAAAGCAGGAACTAAAAGATATTGTTTCACACAGTAGCTTGTTCTTCATAAATTTAGCTTAAGATCAATTTAATTTCTTCAGTAGGTCTGCCTTATTCAGTAAACTGGAGATTCTTTCCACTCTAACTATGGAAACTCATATATTCAAGTGCTTTGAAAGCTTGTTCTGTGTTTTATCTCTCTCCAGCTGACGGATCACATAATGTGTTGGACCATAAAAAGCCTCCTTAAATTTTATCATGCTGTCCACCAGGAGAAAAGACTTGAAGACACTTGTGCTGACATTGACAGTGTTTGTGCAACTTCTCCTTTTGCTTCTGTAAGTGCAAGATCAGCACATTATTGCTTTCTCCTGAACTGGGAGTACTATACATGTTTATACACAAATAAAAGGGGAGGAAAAGATGGTGGGAAAAGACAGCAGAGGCAGTGAGATATGTGCAACTCTGCTGTCAACATACAAGATGCAAACTGGATCACTAGCAGATCACTGGCAGTCAATTCTGTGCTGTACTGCAGGTGAAAAATTCCTCTTCATCTGGCTGCATTTGTGTTTCAGTATGATTTTTCCTTTTAAAAAAAGTCACAAAGTTCAGAAAAGAGAGGGGGAAAAAAAGGGAAGAGGGCTAATCCAATGTAGTGAAGACAAATGGCAAAGAACTGTGAGATTAGTGAAAGACAAAGTACACTAGACTAATCACCTGTGTTCAATAAAATTCTCTCTGATTTTCTTTTAATGATAACCACAACTTTGGAGCCTTTGCAGGAATAGAAGTTGTCTTCTCTTTCTATGGTTGTGGTTTCTATATAAAACCAGTAACATTTACAGGCAAATCTGTGATTTCACAATCCTCTTCACTAAATTCTTAACAGGATTAAAGGCCTTTCCTTTACATTAGCAGTTCATTTCTTCATAGGGGCTTTGAGGACAAAATGTTTTAGCTGCTCTACTACTTCACAAATATACTGCACCTGCAGAGACTGCAGGGGTTGTGACATCAACTACAGCTCAGAGAATGGCACTGGGCAGAGGACAACTATTGGTACCTTATGCAATATTGTATAAATTACCACTCTGAGCAGATGTGCATAGATTAAGTTTTTCCTGGAGTCATTATGGTCAAAACCAAGACTCAAAATGTTGGTCAAGAATAATATATCTAAACTCAGGACTTTTGGATTTTTTGTTTTTACCCCCAGTTCTTCCACTTACCTCCTTGTAATGTATTTAAATTATCTATGTGTGGAAAGACACAGATATTAAACCTATTTTCATTTGAGTAGCTGCTCACTTCCAAATTGCATGAACGCAAAAATTTCCTATTCTATCTAAACTGTATTTTAGAACTACTAACTGTTTTCAGGGTACTTCATTATTGTCCCTTATATAGCTAATAATTAAATGTATATTTTGACATCTCAGTCATAATGGAATCTCTCAGGAGGCAATTAATTGAAAAGAATGTGAACTAGTAAACAGGCTACAGCATAAGAAAATGTGTAAAAAAGAATGAGGAGGGCATAGAGGCTAAAATAATCACCTGTTTACTGATAAAAATTGTCTGTACAAGAAAGCAAAACAAAAGAGTTCAACTTGCCTCCATTCTCAGACTTCTCTGAAATGCTAGATATTTTCCAACATGCTTTCATCTGGTCTGCATTCCTGTAAGAGAATGGTAGGCTAGTTACAAACTACTGGGTTTAGAACTTTATTGCCTTTGATTTACACTGGTATATTACAAACATTTTTAAATGGAAGCCCATAAAAATATTTGCATATTTTAAGGTAAGTCTGTGGAAAACTACAGGAGGAAAAGAGAAGGGTGTGTCTGCATCACTCCAGAGCAGTGAGCTCAGAAGAACATGCTCCATTACACATTTTACACAGTAATTTTTTACACATTTAACACTGTCCTGTGTCCTCACCTATGGCTCCAAAATTCAAACCCCTCTGCCAGTCTTAAAGAGTAAGTTATTCTGGAAGCTATGCCTTGATGCTTCATGATGAAGATAGAATGGGGAGCAATGTCGACTGTTCTCTCCTAAGTGAGAGTCCCGAGAGCATGAATTTTATTCCATTTCCATTCTAGTAAAACTCACTGGCATTAGTAACATTCTGTTCAAGCTAACTTCAGACACTGTAAAGGGCAGAAAGGGTACCAAGAGCTGACAGGGCATTTTAACTCCTGAAGGAGTTTCTAGCAGTTGCATTAAAGGAAAGTCAACAACTTAAAGCTGTGAGCAGCATGAAGTGCTGATAGGTTTGAAATTCCTCTTGCCACTGATGTAGCAGGACTGAAATGCTCACATAAGTAGCACATATGGTAGCATTTACTCACAGGAAGTCAAGCTATAGAGACCTTTTTTCCTAAAAAAAGACCAAAACCCCAACACCCAATCCACTAGATGGAACAAATACTATACCTGCCTGGGACATAACTGAATTTTTTACCTTTGGTCAGCTTGCCAGGCTCAAAATTCTGGATCTTGAAAGTTGCCTACATGAATTCACTAATGCAACTGTCCCTAAGCCTTCCCAGCTAAAACTGCGTGTTCCTGGTGTTCCTGCTTTCACTCCAGATTTTTTACAGTGGGTTTGTGGAAGAAGCTTAGGCAGGGAGACCAGCTTCACCACAGTGTAGTAGTGTTGTTCAGATAGGATACTAAACATGTTCTTGTTCAAAACAAGCTTACAATTTGGTTAAAAGAACTGTTTCCTTAAAACACCAAGTCAAGAAGGATTCAATCCTGGATAGAATTTTTTCCATTTTAAACTATACTCTATTACTACATTGTCCAATAAACACCTGTAAGTGTATTGCCTCCAGAAACATCAGAATCCACCCAAATAAATGCATCATGTTTATTTTTCTTTTAAGCCTTGCTCTGTAAGGTAAACTGATCTATAAGAAATAAGGTTAACAGAGCCTAACTTGCTTCAACTTGGTGTTCTTTGCCCTCTTCACATTAAAAAGACCATTTTGGGAATAAACAGTCCAGGATTTATGTTACAGCTGGACGAGTATGTACATGCTGTACAGGCACAGTGATTGAATTCTGCTCACATTTGCTCCAGGGCTGTACTACTCTGTCTAGTCTCACTACCATCCGCTTGTTTCCACAAACTTGTAACATAATTTCCTACTGCTTATGTTACACTTTGAAGTGCTACTGTAAATGCAGGCTCAGAAGGTGGTGGCAGGTAGTCTAATAATCTGCATGACACTTAAATTGCAAGATGGTGCTACCCGGCTCATGGAGAGCTCCTCAGTTACTCAGATTTGTTTTAAAACTATTTCCATTAGAAGTTAATTTTTATGTTAGAACTATCAGGAAAAAAACCTGCCTTTCTGCTACTTTTTCTATATAATCCCCTTATAAGAATACATTGTTACACACACAGAGAAAATATTTTTTAACCTCTTCAAATTGCTGTATTAAAATTGTCTATTCTATCAGACAAAAGAAAGGAAACATTGGAAAACTCATAAAGGCTTGTATTACTAGACAGTTGGGATGGGTACTCACTCAGTTTATGTGAACTGGAGGCACGTGATCTCTGATTTAGACTACAAAATATCTAGACATTTGATACTACACATTTTGCTATTTCTTCCTGTGAAATTTTTTAGGCTATGACACTAAAGAATGCACCGACATGCATCTGAAAACATACTGAAAAGAATTAATATTACCATTTTGCAGGTGGAAGTGACTGCATGTTTATTACTCCTCCATCTACTGGTACCACAACCTGGACATTAGACAGCATACTAGGCACATTCATAGACTCTGGATTGTATTTATAATCCACTCTCACATCAGTAGTGCTAGCATCACATTTCCAGTAAGTTGCAAGATTCAATGGAGTGGACTGTATGCCATTTGAAGATACCTGTAAAAGAATAAACCATTGAAAACAATTAAGATATCCACCTTTTGGGCAGAATTAGGGGATGATGGTAATTAAGATAAGCCTCAGTGCTGACAAAATATCAAGATAACAATTGACCTTTTAATCACTGAATTTGGAAGACTGCTGCCTAAAGGAATTCCTGTTATTTTAATTTTAAATTAAAATACTTGAAGAAAAGGTTTGAACTCCTTCTGGCCTATGAGGCTCCTTCCTGCTTTTTAATAACTTTTTGTAAGATTTGTTTTTCTTGTGTTCTGCCTTAGGCAAGATGCATGCTTACAGCAAAATTACTTCATCCTTAGCAGTTGTGTGCTGTGCCAATTCAGCTGCCCAACCAGGGAGCACCAGAGAACAATACCTGTCATTGTGGGACAGGCCGCCAGCAGAATAGTTCTAACCTCTTCAAAGCATTATTTTCCTGCTGCAGGAGTGCTGAATGCTGCTTCTGTAGCTGAGCTCATTCTATTGTGCTGATGCATCTCAACCACCTTCTCAATCAGTTGGAGCAACCTCCTATGTCCTGATGCCTCTGGCCTTTTTTTGTCTGCCCAAAACCATTTTTATTTGTCTGGGTTTCCACATGCCAATGCCTCATTTTTACAAGAACACATAGTACTCATTTCAGCAAAACAAATGTTTTTTCCTCTCACCTTTCTCAAGAAATTTGTGTGCCTAACAGGCTTTTTGCAGGTTCAGTATGCCAGGATTTTAAACCACACTAGGCAGATGTGGAAACTACAGGTATGAACAGCTGGACTATTTTCAGCGTTTTTCAGAGTAGTTTTCAGGGTAATTTTTAGGGTTTTTTTGTTGCGCAGACAGTTGTCTCAGATGTTCAAACATTTCAAAGCAGGCCTAGAAAATCTCTGTTTTCTGTTTGAGGTGAGTATGTCTTGAATATATTTTATTAACAGCCAGAACATCATCTCACTGATGAGCCAAATGGCTGAAGTTGACAGAGACCTCCTGGAGGCTGTCTGGTCCAGCCCTCCAGCTCATGCAGGGCCACCTCCAGCAGGCTGCCTAAGCTCCAGACGACTTCTGAACACTTCTAAGAATGAAGACTCCACTACCCCTCTAGGCAACTTGTACCCAGTGCTCAGCCACTGTCACAAGAAAAATAGCGGTTCTGGCCATTCAGAGGGAATTTCCTGTGATTCAGCATGTATCCATTGTCTCTGATTCTGACACTGGGCACCAGTGAAAACAGCCTAACTCTGTCTTCTCTGCGCCCTCTCTCAGGTATTTATACATATTGATGAGATTTCCCTGAATTTTCCCTTTTCTCAGGAGTACCAACACTCTTAGGTTTTCTTCATGGGACAGACACTCCAGTCCCACCATACACAAAAGCATCGCCTTCGTGGCCCTTTGCTGAACTCTATCTAGTCTCATTAGCTATGAACGCAGAAATGAACAGAGCACCCCAGGTGTGGTGTTACCAGTGCTGAGTGGAAGGATCCCCTCCCTTCACTTAATAGCAATACCTAGCCTAATGCAGCTCAGGAGACCATCCAGGAGAACATCTGCTGCCTTTGCACATGAGCAGCGAATTGTTTTGGCTCATGTTCAATATGGGCACCCACAGAACCCTCCGGTCCTTTTCTGCCATGATAATTTCCACTTGGTTTCCCCAAGTGTGCCTCTTGTTGAACTTCATGAGGTTCCTCTCAGCCCATTTCTGCAGCCTGTTGAGCCCCCTAGGGAGGGCAAAATAATCCTCTGGTTTATCCCGAGGGCCATCCCCATTTGGTATCATCAGCAAACTTGCCAAGGATTCATACGCTCTGTCCCATCATTCATTAATTAAGTTATTAAACTGTAAAATCAATATACCCCCTGGGTGTCAGTTCACCTCAGCATCTGCTCATCCAGCCTGTTCTTCATCAGCTTCTCTAAATGGATTCTGTGGTAGGTGGTGTGGAAGGGCATCCTGAAGGCTGAGCAGACAATATCTATCTACGGCTCTGCCCTCATCCACAGGGGAAGTCATGTCACCACAGCTGTTTGTCAGCTTGGTCAAGCCTGACTCACACTCAGTAAATCCATTCTGACTACAGTTGTATTTCTCATTGTGGGAAATCAGAATGTCATATATTCTCAAGACAGAATCACATAATGGTTTGGGTTGGGAGAGACCTTAAAGATCATACAGTTCCAACCCACCCTCATCATGGGCATAGGCAACTTTCACCAGATAAGGCTGCTCATAGGCGTACCCAGTCTGGCTTTGAATACTGTCAAGGATAGATGGGGAAAACAAAATGTCTCTGGGAAACTTGTGCCAGTGACTCACCACCTACTGAGGAAAGACTTTTTTCTTAATATCTAATCTAAACCGACTCTCTTACAACTGCAAACCACGTATTAAAATTTTTGAGTGACAGCATCCAATTGCAAAATCAAAGACAGTCTGAGTACAAATGACAAGAAGTTCCCATCAAATTTCTTAAAGGAGAATTTGACTTTGCTGACAAATATCAAAAAAAGCAGTGTTTGAAGCTTGCCTGTAGGATTGACCTGAAGCATTAGTAAGCTGAAACAAGCCCTGTATCTTAGGCACTGACAAGAAACATAATGTACTAAGCCTGGGCAGAGTCTGTGCATTTTAAGTAGAGATGAGGGATGACAGTTCACCTCCATGCTGCCAGATAAAGAATAATTCTTTTAATTTCTGAGTATATATATAGTATATAAATATATTAATATATATATTTATATAGTATATAGTATATATATACTATATATATATTAAAATCTTCAAAAGGATTAAAGTGTTTACCTGATACTTTAGAACATCCACGTTGTAATAGGATGCAGATGGATTCTGCTCTGATAATTTCTTGAGGTAGACAGTTATAGCTTGCATGTTCATCCAAAAGTCTTTAGTACTGGAGTCACTTTGTGACTGATCACTACAAAGAAAGATCACTAATTAGGGGTGAAATATTACACCAGTCATGCAAGAATACCAGACATTTTAACCTTTTTTGGCAAAATATGCTTTTTTCAGTATAATTCACTTTGTCAGATACATGTCTGCTACATTTCAATTATAAACTGTCATGTCAAACAGTGACTAAACTTAATTTTGTATTAATTATTCATTACATTAAGTATGAACTAACAAAAGGAAATTAAACAGAAAAAAATACATGCATATGGTTTGATTTATTATTTTAGTAATTAAAAAAGTACAGCATTAAAAAACATTTAGCTTAGTGTTGAAGTAATTTCTCCAATAAATGAAATAGAAGCTACTCAATTTAAGTGGTTTTCTGCTAAAAAATTCCAGCTTTTCTATTTTTTTAGGAATCAATATCTCCAAGTGCAATTTCAACAATTATCCTACTTGATCAGCAACCTTTTTTTTCTACAAATTCTTCCAAGCATGTTGCTACACATCTGAGAGACAGTTATGTCAAGAATCTGATTAATGTAATGATTCAGCTTTAAAATACACTAGTAGATGGCAAATGAGATTACACAAATTTCCTACTACTTGTTTTCCATTTAAGCCTACTAGTTCATAATTAAGTTTTACTATTATTACTACTGTGTAAAGAAATTATTTATTAAATGCATATGAAAACACAGACACATTTACAAATTATTTCTTATGGCTCCTGTTACACTCAGCACAAATTTTAATTCCAGTAGTCATTGATATTTTTAATAGTGGCAGTGGAGAGAGAGAACTAAGCTGAACAAGATTAATTCAGAAAATTAAATTACATGTAATTCAACCAACCAGGCTGCAAAGAATTCTGATTTACATACACAACAATTCCACAAATTATGTAGCTTACAATTATGTTAAAAAAATAAGAAACCTGTATACAAGTTGTGCATTTGGAAGAATCTGCTCTAGTTTGCTAGTGTTTTTCACCCTGAAGCAGAGCACAGCAGGAGATGGGTTGCTGGTGAATACTTTAATAATCCCACTTGGGAATGATATTGTCATATCACCAGTAATCTTCACAATACATCTAGAAAAGAATAAAAAATCAGCTTCATTGCAACTCATTTACTGCCTAATTTTAAAGCAAACACTGTAATTTCATGATCTTAATTTAAAACAGAAAATCAATCTCAAATGAGGCCAATGTGACTAGTACTGCCACTTTCAGCTTGGAAGTAAGATGAAGTAAGAAATAAAAAGATTTAACTGCTTAAGCATACAGTAGTCTTGGATATTTTTCAAGCTTTGAAAACATGACAATATGGCTCTGCCTAGGCAAGGCCAAAGCAGCATAGCAATGGATGTCACAGGGAAGGAAGTGCTTTCAGCTGCACAAAATTACATGTAATACCTACCTGACAATGATAAAAATCCTTGTCATTCTCTGTGCTGTCACTGAACACATTTGTGTAAAGCAGGTATATATGAACTCCTGGCAGGACCCAGGCCATTACAGAGCAATAAGCCCCATTCATACCCAGGGAAAAAAACCCCTTTTAATTCCCCTTCTAATGCATACTCATTCCCCTTCCCCACGAAGGGAAATTTCATTCCCCAGTACGAAAACAGACCCATTGTCTTTTCTCATTGTAACTCAATACATTCAACACAACTCATTATTTAACTAACTTTGTGGGATCTGCTCCTTTAAAGTAGGCGTTAACAGATTCAGTAAGAGCTACTGCAACAGGCAAGGTGTCCTGGTTTCCAAGGCTGACGGGGCTGGGACCACGTGAAACACCTAGAATACATACAGTGTATAAATTTAATTTTCAAAAAGCTTAGTAGATTTCAGAATGGTTGACTACATCTGTAATTTTCACAAGAGTTTACACCAACATCACAGTCTCAATGGAGGTATCACTTGTAAAGTGTGTAGAAATAGATAAACATAGTACAGTACAATAGCACCACCAAAATGCTGCTCAGCAGCATAAGAACATAGGTATGACTATTGGTATGACATTATGTAAACAGACAGAAGGAAATACATGAGATAGAGGAACACAGCATTAAAATGGCTACTGGTGGGGGTGAAGTCAACAGACCCAAAGCAAATTGACCAGAATGCTTTTAAAAAAAGATCCCTTACTGTATGCTTTTTTATATGGAAAAATGCATGATAAAATGGTGACAGAAATACAAAGAATTCTCTTACAGTAAAAATGAACTTAAATGCAAATTCATCAATATTACCCCACATAACTGAAAGGTTTAACATTCTTTTAACATTTTCAGCCAACAAACATTGCAATTCCCAAGCAGAAATTGTTGGAGAAGTCTTCACTTGTTGCTTGTGCCAACACAACACAATTCCAATATACAGCTATATCAACCAAGACCTCATTTGAAGGCTTTTTGAAATGTGCATATACAGTTGATGAAACAGGTTTTCATGGGATTTCATTTTTCACAAATTTTCTACATGTGTATGGAATATGAAAGACAATAGTGGAAGTTTCTTTTTTTTTCTTAGTGCAGCAGTGTAGTAGATAGCTTCTTATGTTTTTTGTACCATGAAAAAAATGGTCTGTATCACATAATATTACCTATCACAAGGGAGGCACAGTCTTTATCTTTTCATAAGCAAATTGAAAAATTTCTCTTTCATACCACAAAGGAGAGACAAAATGCTTCTGTATAATATTGCCCATGGCAAATTAAACCTACTTACTCTACGTGGCTGTCCTTTTTGAGCTCTTTCAGAAGTAAAAAGAAAGTTGGGACCTTCTCTTCACAGAGCACCTAATATCTTATATTAGACCTTAAATTAAGAGACAAGTGAATGAAGTAGTGACAGAAAGACAACCAAAGACAGGAGCTAGTCTAATTCTGCTACCTCATACCTCTCTCTCCATTACAATTTCTCACATAAGGTAGTAAAACGTTCAGAGTGCTTCTCAGTGCCATAAAAACAGTTGTGCACCACTTAGGCCTCCTTAGATCCAAAAGATATAGTCTAAAATGTTCAAAATCAGAAATTCTTAAACAAACTAATTAGTATGATTCTGGCTAAAAACCACTGATTTATTCTTTTTTTCAGCATCTTGTTTTTCTTTATTCTTTCAGACAATACATGGATCAAGATTCTGAAGTTTTTTCTGTCCCTGAAAACTACCAATAAAAAGCTGTGATTCTCAATAGTCTCAGGAATCCAGAAACCATTATTTCAAGAGGCAAATATATGATAAAATTATGAACTGTCAATTACTTGAAATTCTGTTTGGTGAAATACTGAACTCCAGAATTATTCTTCACTAAAATCAGTGTACCTTCAATGAATGTGTCACGACAGTTGCTGAGCTGTTTTAATGTCTTTTTCTGCCAATTCACTAAGGAACAACAAACAATTGTAGAGCAAAAGGACTACCTTGTATACAGGTATATCAATTATTTTAAAATCTTTTACTTAATGGCCTTACGTACATTTTTATAGCAATATTTCAAAAATTATGCAGAATAATGCAAACATATTCTTTATATTCATATTGATAAAAGACAAACACTGTTTGCTTGACTGAAAAGTGAAATTTATTAGAATAAATAAAATGCTTTTAACTTTTTTTCAGGGAACACCAAAGCAAATATATATGTATATACATTTCTCTGAGACCTATCTGGGGAACCACAAATGAGATCACTTCTCTCTTCCTTACTCTGCTCCCACTGTTCATCACCTTTTGACTCAAAAATCTATGCATTCTCTAGAAACCAATAAACTGAAAAATAAATAAATTACTATTCATTCAACAAGGCCCAGTGCTGGTCCTGCCCTTGGGTCACAGCAAGCCCAGGCAGTGCCACAGGCTGGGGCAGAGTGGCTGCAAAGCTGCCCCAGGAAAAGGCCCTGGGGGTGCTGGTGGCAGCAGCTGAGCATGAGCCAGCAGTGCCCAGGTGGCCAAGAAGGCCAATGGCATCCTGGCCTGTGCCAGCAATGGTGTGGCAGCAGGAGCAGGGCAGGGACTGACCCCCTGTACTCAGCACTGGTGAGGCCACACCTTGAGTACTGTGTCCAGTTTTGGGCGCCTCAATTCAAGGAAGACATTTTGGTGCTGGAGCACATCCAGAGAAGGGGAATGGAGCAAGGCAAGTGTCTAGAGAGTAAGTCATATGAGAAACAGCTAAATGAGCTCAGTATGTTATGCCTGGACAAAAGGAGTGACAAGGGGGAGCCTTATCACTCTCTCTACAATTGCCTGAAAAAGGGTGTAACAAGGTAGGGGACAGTCTCTTCTCCCAGGCAATCAGCAACTGGAGAAGTCAAAATGGCCTCAAGCTGTGCCAGGGGAAATCCAGGCTGGATAACAGCAAGAATTTATTCACTTAGCATAGGCTACCAGGGAGGTGGTGGAGTCATGATCCCTGGAGGTGTTCAAGAAATGACTGGAGTGCTTAGTGCTTTTGTTTAATTGACAAGGTAGTGATCATTCAATGACTGTACTTGATGATCTTGGCAGTCTTTTCCCATCCTTCATGATTCTGTCATTTTATCATATGAAACAAACATAACTGCTTGTCCTGATGCTGAAAGTCAGCAGTTTTGAAAGTCAACAGTTTTGTTGCCTTGCTGCTGACAGTACAATTCTTTCCAGCAACATTCAGCTTCAGTGTTTTCTACACCTGTTGTGAGGTCTCAGACAGAAGGGAAGTGACAGAGATGCATGAAGGTATCCTAACTTCATCTCAGACTGCAGCCCAGATCAAGGCTCCAGGTCTATCACCTTTGGTATTGATGGCAAACCTGGCTTAAATGCCCTGCTACCTGTCTCAGCCTGATCACCACTACTAGCTCCTGAGCTGCGCTGACACAAGAACTAGTAACAACCATGCAAACGGTTGCACTGACACTTTCAAAGTGCAGACCAAAACTGCAGAACAAAAGACTCCATCACTGGTCATTAAAAGGACAGCTAAATAAAGCTGATAAAATGGTTTTAGTTCAGTTTAGGAACAAAGATCCAGACAGTTTTAATACTGGCAAAAGAGCTGTCATGAAAATAAAATTTATTGAAAAAGTACAGTCTTTATTATGTCTGCCTTCTAAGATCCATATTATATGTAAATATAGAAACATTCTCTTAACACGTGTTAGGAGAATTAGGATTGTCAAAGTAAAAATATATTCACTTTACTTGAAAGGAAGTAGTAATGACAAACTGAAGAACTGAGGCCAAATTTCAGCTTGTTTATGGAACAGGGAACTGGATAGACAGAAGATAGCATTATATAAAAGTGTTTACATCACGTTTTGGTCATTTCAGCAACACAGAAATGTTATGTACTTGAGATGTCAAGCAACTTGTATGTGCCAGATACCAGAAATATCTGGAGAGACTTGTTTCAAAAGAAATACAATTTTATTAGATGTAGTATATTAGGATGATTAGTTAAGACATAAATGTGCTTTGAGTACAATACCTGGCAGTGTCTCACAAAGCTTTTCAATTGCAGGAAGATTTCGAATCAAAAGATCATCGTCTATTACAGTTAAATGAAACAAAACATTGCAAGAAAACAAAATATTTCAAGCAAAAATAGATGCTAAAAATTAACATAAAAATATTTTGCAAATTAAATTTAGGCAAAAGCATAAAAGAAGCACTAAATTATGCATGCCTTAAAGTTCACTCGGAAGAAGATAATCAGTCAATTCTCCATTATTCAGAACAAATTGGGTAAGGGGAACACTGGATTGTGCAAAAGTTAAAAGAATACAGAATGTATTGCAAGCTATATTCTCATGCCCCAAAGTATTTCAGCTTTTTGTACTGCCCTTCCCATTTTCCCAGGACTATTTAATTCATACAGTCAGTGCAGATGGAACTGGCCTTATCTATTTTTCTTAGACCAGAATAATAACCAGATCAAGCTTCACTGTCAGCACACACCTCCTTACCTCCTGCCTCACTTCATGATTTCACTCTGCCACTGTTTCCAACAACACTCATACATATCTCCCCAGAGCTGGGGGATATTGACGCTCTTGCCACCAACTTTTGGTTTCTCAACACCAGAGCTCAGACCTGAGGATGTGAGCCTGGACAGACTCTGGCAACCAAAATATTAGTTGTGTTTCTGCAGTGCTTCTCAGCATTTGTGAAATTGGTGGATACTGAACTGTAAGAGCTAAGGTTGGGCAGAACTTAGTAGCCTTGCTTCTGCACAGGGTGGAAATGACTCCACTGCAGAACTCCCACTAGGTGCTGCACAGATGCTTTTCAGAGCTGCTAAGCCTGAGTGAGGAATCCTTGGCATCAATAACATTTGCAGATAACTAAATGATAAGCTGACAACTTGATTTAACTTGTGTCTAATGGTGTAACTGTGTTCAGAAGTTAAATAGTTCAATACTGCTAAATAAACAAGTTTAAATGTCTTAAGCCCTGCCCTTCCCAAACTAACAAAAACCCCCAACTAACTAAAAAAGCCCCAATGTCTCCTTTAGATCTATGATAATCAAATATCAAACTGAACTTTTCCTTTAAAAACAAGAGAAAACCTTCTGAAATTAGGGACAACACATGAAGACTTTCCTTTCCGTCTTGATCTTTGTTTAATTGTTTGTTTTGCTTTCACTGCTTAGCTTATATTCTTAACTAACTTGCAGAAAAACAAGCATTAGAACATACAAGAACTCAGTTCTGTGAACATTTGTATTCATTCAGATTTTTCAGTATCCCTAAGTATTTCTGCACCTATACAATAACATCTTCTGAACAAATATATGATAACATGTTGTACTTAATGGCTATACAAGCATACCAAATAAGAATTCATGGAATGTTAATTGTGAATAATATTTCCCTAAAGAACATGCCATAACTGGGTCTATGGTCTAATCTCATTTAATCTACTTTCCTGTGTCTCAGTGTCATTTAGAAGCAGACATTGCAAAGAATGCCTGAAGCCCTGGACTTGCATATGAAAGAACTAACTCCAATAAATGTTTCTTGCAGCAGGTGCAGCCTAGTGGCTGAGTTGTCCTATTTCTCCAGTAAGATAAAATGGTTAATTAAACTTACCAACTGTAGGTGTGTTTGCTGCACTGAGGGAAGCAGAAGAAGATATAGAAGAAATGCTCTCTGCACGTGCCAAAGGAGCTGCTGGAGGTGGACTTGAGTTAGCAATCAGTGGAGGGCTGAATGGCCTAGGCTGAACAGAAAAGATCACAAGAATATAATACAAAGTGGTTTTAAAGACATGAACAAAATATTGTAAACAGAAAAGTTCTTATTTCATGCTCCAATCAATTTTATAATGTTTCTCAACATAGTTTCTTTAATGTTTTATCCACTCTAGTTTTTCATGTAAAACAGAGAACGTGCATTTTCCATTGGAGTAAATACCATTATTTCATATATTATAGGCTTTTTTTGATAGAGTAGTCAAGACTATTATACTGGATTATGCAATAGCCTGTCAATAATAATAACAGAACACAGTATCAGAAACTAAGACTACAGAGCTCTGTGTGTGGAAACATAGATTTGGAGAGCTGAAGCAGAGCTACTAATTAATTGGAAGTGAGAGCAGCAGAGGGCAATTTAAATAGTTGGGACTGGAGTATACAGGACCAAGAGAGGAACAGGCTGTAGGACAAGGGTTTTTTCAGCCCTGAGAACAGAAGCCTAAGAAGATTTATTAGCAGGCTCCTGCTAGGTAAAAAGGGGCACACAAAGAAGTCAGAGTCAGGCTCTTCCAAGAGATGCAAGAGCTATAGCAAAGAAATGCCAGCCAGACTTTGGGAAAAAGTCCTTCTTGAAACCTTTTTGGTAAAATCCTGAGACAGGCTGCCAGATTGGCAGACTGTAAAATCTCCCACTCTGGAAATTTTCAAAACTCAGCATGGTCCTGAGCAACCTGATACAATTTTGAAGTCAGCACTTTTTTGAGCAGGCTGGCCTAGAGAACTTAAAAGTCTCTTCCATTCTAAATCTCTAGATGGTTTCAGGATACACTTAACTGTTAAGGTATTTAACTAGTGATCACACTGGGGTTAACCTATCTGAAAGGGACTGAAACCCCTGAAGCATCATTTTGCAGGATAACTGTAGAATCACAGATGAAAAGGGGCTAATGTGTATGTCTGAAACACTGATAGCTGCATGACTATGGAACCAACCAAGGATTGTTGGTAATAACAGATAAACTGTTGATAATGACCAAGGGCTGTTGATACTGATCAAGGACTGTTGGTAATAACCAAGGATTGCTGGTACTAATAGACAAGGCCGGCTGGTAATAACCACAGATCATTGTTAATAAGCAAGGACTGTTGGCACCAACTGATGACGTCTGCTGATAATAACCAAAGACTGTTGGTAAAAACAAAGTGAAAAAGAACAAGATGTGGATGGAGAGGGCGCAATGCAGTGGTAGGCAGCACTTTTCTGTGAAATCTTGCTCTAGCTCCTGCAGATAAGTACAAGTGCAGGAATGAGGCAGAGAAACGAGTATGGACTGGGATGGACAAGACTACCCGGGACCCCCAAAGCCCTCTGACTGAATTCCAGAAAGGTCTGAAAGAATGAACTGTGCATGATGACTAAATTGCATAGAAAACAAGAAACGTAGCTCCAGGGTACGGAAAACTGGTACTCCCAACACGCTTAGGTGATCCATCCAGCATACTCCATCAGCTGAACTGACACTAGAACCAGGACTGGTGATATCTCTCTCTTTCTCTTCCTGTTTATTTCCTATGTTCCTTTCTCTTCCTCTTTTATTCTACCTCTTTATCCAGAACCCACTGTCATGCACATATATACTAGGTCAGGGACTAGCATACCAATTTCTATGTCAAGTGCATAATTTAATAATAAAGCTTTGTGAGTTTTATGGACCCTTTGAGTTTAGTCATTCCTTTTGACCCCTAGCATTTGTGAATCTTGGGTGTTTCCTTTCCCCTAAGGGCAGGATGTCACAGTAACTTTCTCCCCCCATTTTATTGCTTTGATAGAGACTATGAGAATTGCAAAGGGAGTTAACATACAATGAAGACAACTGACAACCTTCTACTTGTATCCAGATAATAGTAAATTTCAAAAGCAAGAGTATAAAATGAATGTAGCTTTGTTCAGGATCATACTTTATAGTAGAACAGATAAATGACATGAAGAACAGATTCCTTGGGCTAAGAGCAATTACTACAATTCTGCATTGGAAAGAGAAAAGAATTTCAAAATGAACTCTGTTCTGATCCTACAGAAAAGCAAAACAGTTTTAAAATATTCTCTCAGTTTTGTCAAAGCATAAGATGAGAATTTTGTTTGTACCAAGAATATGGTGAAAATATCTTCTGACCTTGAAAGACAGTAAGAGGATTTTACCACAGGAACATTTTTCCTAGTCAGGAAGTCAAGTGAAACCTGCAGAATACTAATATTTACAGAGGAAATAAGGCATGGCCTAGTCTGATAGGCTGTTTGGTTATTTGCATTCTTTAGCACATTCCTTATAGGCAGGGGAACCCACATTGCAGGTACATGCAGACAGTGTGCAACCTCTCACTATCCTTATGGGCAACTGCTGTGATCTACCACCTCCCTTCTCCACAAACCAGCACCAAGTGCAAGGAGAAGTCACAACAGGGCTACTTCTGTCAACATACAATTGAAAAAACCCCACTCATTTCCCAGAGCTTTGGTGATATCCCTAAATCAAGGGAGGTTTGTTAATAACTTCAATAGTATTTTGTTTTTCATTATCAAATTACCGATTTGTTCAATTAAAAACATTCAGCTGATGCAAAAATTATGGTTTGGACCTTAGTACTTGTGTTAATAATTACCTGTTGTAATGAGATAGTTATCATAAACTATTACCATGCCTATTAGGCAATGTTGAAAACCTGTGATTCCTTGAACATTGGCTATAAAGTAATTCCACAGTAACAGAGTAAATGAATGGTGTATCTGAAATCAAGTCAAAATGGCAAATAAAAAAATAATAATCAATACGTACTATTTCATTAATCCCACTAAGTTTCCCAGTAGACAGCTTTGGTCGTGAAGCAGGCCTTGGTGGGGGTACAATGGTGCCCACAGAAAGAGGAGTGGTGGGCCTTGCTGAAATAAAGCAAAGTTAAGAAAATATTAGAAATATCACGCTGAACATAAATAGTTATGTACTGGAGTAGAATATCTAGAAGTGATGTTTGTACTAGAGGTTCCTATTGTACAAATGCCATGTTTACCAAAAATCATAAGTGCTTTTAAAATAGTGCCATGTGATACCCTGAAAATTGCATCTAAAAAAAAAGCATCATGGGCTTTCTCAATTCTCTCAAGTGATTTTATACCAACCACTCTTGGAAGCTTGTATGTAAAAAAAATTGTTTTTGCAAACGCAGTTGCTTAATCTTTGAGATCTCATTACTGTCTGACATCCCACAAAAATACATTCCCATTTCTAGAAAAGCAACACTGCATAGTTAAGAAAAAGCAATGCTTTTAAATGAATAATTTGCATTTTCTTCTGATTTCAAGCTGAATATTTACTTCACTGTCCCAACTGGTATTAACAAGCAGTTTAGTATATTCTAAGTAAGAAGATGAGTTAATTTTAGCATCAGTAGATAGAGCAGTAATAAAAAAAGAAAAAATGAGTCCAAAGCTTGCTTTTTGGAGTCAGTTATTAGCAAAGAGCAGTACAGAATGCATGCTTTGCATACCCTTATTTGTATGAGCACAAGAAGACACTAAACTATAGTCCAGTAGTGCTGAAGATGATGCAGAAGATATTTCAGTAGCAGTGCCAGTTTCTTCAATGAATAATTGTTCATGGCATATAAAGTTATTGAAAAGGTCGCTTTGATCCTCAGAAGCACAGCTGTTGGAAGAATTCCCAAGCAAAGCAGAAGAGGCAAGGCAGGCATTTTCAGTTTTAAAATGCAATCTTTGGGGCTCCTTCTTGTCTGTGCTTGTGTGTCTAATTGTAAGAAGTTCATCAGCAAAGGAAATCCACTGACTCTGAGACCGTGAAAAACAGGATAAAGTACTGGTACTCCCTGATGGCGCTGCTGTAACACCAGATTTGCACAAAGGGCTAATGGTAAAGCCTGGTGAGGATGGGCTTGTAGACCCAGAATCTGTCTGGTGTCCAAGCAAAGACTGAGATATTCTACACCCAGGCAAATCAGTGGTAGATGATGAGGAGCTTCTATTGTGCTCTGTTAGGGTAGCTGAAGGAAAAGGGAAGAATTGAAACTAGGACCAACAATGAAAAGATAAAATTTTCAATATTCAAAAAAGTATTCAATATCCACTACACAAGGACTACCAGCCAGCATGAAAAATAACTGCTCTACTAAAGTAACAACTCACAAATAGAAGAAGGAAAAAAGCCAGTCACATATCATATGTACTTAATTCATACTGCCAACAATGTCCCTTTCCATTTTTTAGTACATGAAAAGAAATTACTGTGTATGTCTCCACTTAAGGCTCTATTTCTCACAACTTTCCTTATTCTTTTGACTTCCTACCTGTTGTGATTTAATTTTTCTCATCTTTGTCTTTTCTTTCTTGCATCCTACTCCACTTTTGGTTCCTCTCCACAGCTTTCTGCTTTTAATTTCCTTCCTTATTTAATCAAACCTATCCTGCTCATTCCAAAGACTTTGATCCTCTTAGTCCTAGTATTTGTCATAGAAGGTCCAACGGATTTGGCTTTCAGGTGAATGAATGAAGACAATGGAGCCACAAGAATCAGTCTGATAGTTAATCTATCAATCTGTGAGTAACAATATGGATGAGGCATCATCCACCTCAGTTTTTTTCCCCCTCTCTCATCCTCTAATCTTATGACTGCTGAAAAAAGGAGTTTCCCATAAGTATTCCCTGCATTTGCTGTTGCCTGTTGCTCTAGATGACAATAGAAGCAGAAAATGCAAGGTTAGTCAATTCTCATCATCTTGCAGATTGGCAGAGCTAGGAGCAACAGAAGTGATAACCAAAATAAAAAAAGAAACATATTTGAAAGTTCAGATCAAAAGTACAGTTTTCCTTACTACAGTGGTCCTTTCGCCATAAAAAAATACATTCTTCAAGTCCACCTAACATTAGGAATTTTAACACACCTTTCCCTTTCAAGCAGATATTTTAACTATCATTCAAAAGCTTTAAAATACTACTAAAAATCCTATTTAAAAACAATGTGGATATGTTAACAACAATTTAAAAAATACATATGGATGAAAATAAGGAGGATAACTAATAGAAGAATTTTTTAAATATCAAGAACTAGCTAAAAAATGTCTGTTGTGTTTGTTCAAGATAACAAAGTTAGCTTAAACTTATAATAAAGTGGGATTATTCATGGATGACCAAAGATTACTTCTGTGTTGCATAAACCACTGTCTGCTCAAATACCAAGGTAGTTTAAGAGTTCAATGATTAACATGGTTATAAAACAATAGTTAAACAAATGTTTAAACCATAAGAGACATATACTGTATTCCACACAACTAATGTATGTAATTTAAGTTTGAGATTTTTAAAAACTTAAAGCACCAGCTTACTACTAACCTTCAAGGTGAAGATAAAACATTGATTTTGAGGAAAATGCCATCTGATAAATATTTTTTAAAAACTTTAAAAACTTACTTGCAAGTTAGCAAGCATTAGAACTCAATTTAAACAGCATGACTTACATTGATCCAATTTTTTTTTTTACCCCAAATGTATTAGAAATTTGTTATACTTTGGCACACTTACTTTCTATTTAATTCTACAGATTATTTCACAAATGTAAATATCTTAGTTAACTTCTAGAACAACAGTGCTTGAAAGAATTATTTATCAGATAAAGTTTGCCAAGGCACAGATGTATCTAGGGTAGATGACTAGGGTAGATGACTCCCTGTCAGATAGAGGTACAGAGGATATTATGGATCTCTGTCATTACACATCAGCCAGAGACTACTTTCTCCACAATTCTGCTGTCAGGAGGAACTGTATGATGACTTGCTAACCTGTTTTCACTTCTCATCCAGGCATGGCAATAAACACCTGAATACAGCTACAACCACCAGTACAACAAGTTCAGTATCCTCTGCCTTTCTCTGCAGACTCCAACACAAGACCAAAGTTATCAAAACAGAGTATTTTAGGAAAGCACCAATTTTTTTCAGAGAATTCCAGTAATGTATCTCTCTCTAGAATTTATTCTTACATGTGAATCCACCACACACGGTGGATTCACTTACCAATACTACTGACTGATTATGTAAGTCAGGATGAGAGTGTTATAACGAATTCTGTAAGCCAGATTTATTAAAACTGTAACCTTTAAGGAACATCAATTTGTTGTTAAAGACTAAGTTCTTAAAATCTGAAGTGTTACAAAGCAATGTTGATTGCTGCTAAAAGAACATTACTTAAGCCGAAAAATAACACCAGCTTTTCAGAATTCTCCTACTGATACATGTAATCTTCCTTATTGTTCTTCAATCAGCATGATTATGCACAGAAGGAAACTACTAGAAAGCCATAATGAACAAGGAAGTGAGGACTATTTTTGGAATACAAGTACTTAGTTAAAAAAAATTAGCAAACGCACTTCCTTTCTCAGGTGTGTGGGAGGAGGAAAGCGTCTACATTAAGAAAAAATTAACATGTTTGAGTAAAGATACATAGTAGGCAGACTGATAAGATGTATGGAACTATTTTTCGCAAAGACCAGGTTTCAGGAAAGCTTCCCAACTTGTCATACCAACACGAATATCCTGCAACCCAAAATTCCCAAGCAACATGAGCTCTCTCCCTCCACCTCCCATATGCCACACACCATCCCTGCAATATCCCTGATTTCAGGATCTCAGCTTAATTCATGTCTCAGTCCTGTCATTTTTATCCATCTCCCCTTGGATTATGCTTTCACCACTCCTAACAGAATCATGCCTTCCTACAGGAAACAAGTTCCTCACAGCAAAGCTCTGCAATACCTTTGTACTACATAGCACAGCCAACTTTCCTGGAAAGAAGAAATCCATCCCAATTCATTGTGCAAGCTCAGCTTGTCTCACAGTTGCTGCAACAACCACCTTTTAATCTCCCAGCCTTACCAGCTGAAAAAAAATTGATTACATTCTAGATGGTGAGCAATTATTCAGTAAGTATGAGAAGGCAATAAAAAAGGCAGGAACAAAACAGAATTTTCTTGACGTGTCTAGTACTCCCTCTTCCTTCTTGCTCTCTAGTTTGAAAGCCTTAAATGCTGTCTTCTCAGTCATGTAATACTTGTAAGACAGTATACTGCTTTATAAAATTCTATCATTTATGCATCAAAGCACACCCCTTTGCAGTAACTGAAAAACCACAACATCCAGAAATATAGTGAACACCATCTCTACCATGAATACTTTACCTGAGGAAGATGAGGATGCCAAAGAAGCTGAAGAGGAAGATTCAAGAGAAGTGCTGAAGAGTGGATCCCATGCCAGGAAGTCACTGTTCCCCTTTCTATATTAAAAGTTAAAATTGGAATAGAAATTAAAGATTTATGCATTCATAAAAATCACAAACTCCACTAGTAGTTTGATAATATAATAATTATAATAATTACAATAATTACAGAACATTTTGGTTTCAAAGGGATCTTTAAAAATTCTGTTCCAACCACGCTGACATCCACTAGACCAGGTTGTTTAAAGTCTCTTCCATACTGGCCTTGAACATTTCCAGAGACAGGGCATCCAGAACTTCCCTGGGCAACCTGTTTCCACATATCACCAGATTTCACAGTAAAGAACTTCCTCCATATATTTACTATAATACTACTCTCAGTTTAAAGCTACTCCTCCTAGTCCTATCACTACATAGTTCTTGTAAAAAGTCCCTCAATAATATGATAAAAACTTCTGACAAATTAGTCTATATTAGCCTTTGCATCTAAAAAGAAAAGAAGTAATCAAAATTTGCAGGTCAAAGAACTGATTTACACATAAGGAGACTGTCTCAGCCAAAACTTTGGTGAAAATTTGTGTGGACGTACTCCATAATGTCAGTTAAATAACTGTAATTTTTGAGACCTACATCTTCAAATTCATTCATTTCAGCATATATACACATAAGCAATGTATGCAGATCAGTGTAAATTTGTGTTTTGCAATCTTAAACACTGTAGCATGGAAGACTAAGTCTGTCTTATTTAAAAACATTGTGTAGCTATATAATTATAAATACCAATTGAGATTAATCACAATAAATCAAATGTATTAGAAGGGGTAAACAAATGAACAGAAATATCCATTGATACACATAGGCTTATAATGCAATAGATGTACAACTTAAGATAGGACTCAGCTGTCATTTCCAGTTTCTGAGTTTAGAAAAATAAGAACAAATTCCTGCAAAACAGCACTTGATAGAATTTAAAATTTTAACTTACTCAGTAGTTGGAGCAGAAAATTTTGATTTTGTTAACTCTTCACCTAAGAAAAGGATACCATACTATCACTAAAAGCGTGAAACATAAAAATTTCATTTTCATTATAAAAAGATATTTAACATTCATGTTGGCAGTTCAAACAAATTACTATCAAAATGGAAAAAAGAAAATGTATGATTTCTGATAACTTAAGTTTCCTTAACTATGAGAAGACTACATAGATCACTGCACTTCATAAGGCAATGTTGTTTGCTTGAAACTTTCTCCTTGAATTATACAGTTTAGAACAATGTTCTTCAGCAAATCTGGTCTAGTTCCCCACTGACAAAAAAAACCCAAAACCCCCCAACCCTGAGTAATAGAAGCTAATGCTCTATCCTCTATGTCAGTATTTTATATCATAAACATGGTGTGCTTTGCTGGTTTGTGGATCATCCTAAACTTGAACAGGTGGAAGGGTTTCAGGAACTGGCACAGGAGTTTTTCTTATGGGGCAACCCCTTTGGCATCTGGATGTGTTCCTCATTACTGTCAGACAGGTCCTCACAACAGGGAACAGCAAAGTACATAGATAAGGAATAGTTATATAAAACTAACAAGAGAAGCATTTTGTTCCATTTAAAATATAGATATTTAAGAAGTTTATGTCTCCAACAATTAAAAAAAAGTTTTTGTTTTCATTCTATGTTAAAAAAACTAACAGACTAAAAGATTCACACTTACTGGATGAATTTTGATTCATTTGTGCCTGAAACAGGGAAAAAAAATAGGAATAAGTTATTCTACTGTGAAATAAACCACTGAACAGCTGAAGAGTTCTTATTTCCACTCAACTTCTTATGTGATATTTTATTTTCAGTGCCAGGTAAAAATATCACAAGCTTGCGGAAGACCATGGAACAAGAGCCTGGACAGAGCAACCAGGCAGCATACCAGTTTGAAAATGCAGGAATAAATATTGTAGAGCTGACAAAATGAGCAGCATTTTAAAATCTCTTTAGTGTTTGGGGCAGAGAATTAAACAGCCCATGTATCTATCACATGGTACAGATGAAACCAAACACTCCTCATGTTTTCCCAACAAGTCCCCTCACACACTACACTTACTTAGTTTTAACTACAAATGCAAATAAAAAGCCATTCTCTACTTACAGAACTGTGCCTCTGCTTTCAAAATGTGGTGAGGGAAAAAAGAGAAAAATTATTATTTTAATATGTTATGCACACTATTTTCCTTAAAATCAGAACCAGTCTCACTCTGATCTGAATACTGTACTAGCATACCCTAATATTATTTATCATTTGGTGGTATAAAGGATTATTCCATGAACTGGCAGGATAAATCAGTAAAGCTGCACTGCAAATGTTACATGTATCCTCATTATATGACCTGTTTTAAAAGACTTGTATGTTATTGAAAACTAATTTTCAAATTACGTTAAAAGCCATGCTCAGCTAACAGTAAGATGTAATTGAATGTCTCATGGTGGCACAAGCACAAACACAAGAACTGAGCACTCTAAAGTCTCAAAGGAGACTTTAAATATGAGAAAAGTACTTAATGTTATATTGCAATATAAAAGTGCAATCTATATATATTGGAATAAGAAATGTACCAAAAATGACCTAGTGCACAAGAAAAAAGAATTACTGAACCTAGAAAAATTCTGAACATTATAATATATGTTTACACTACTGTTTCTTTGTCACTTTTCTATATGTAAAAATACAAGGAACAAAATACTTACAGATATTGCTGGAGAAAGAGTGATGTTTCCTATGGATACTTTTAATTCATCCAAAGAAGGCATAGTGTACTGAGAGCTGTTATTTGGCTGGACAGGTTTTATTTCTACATGGAATCTCCTAGGTTCATCATCTTCAGAGTCAGACTCACTGGATGAATAGAAATGGTTCTCTTTGGTATGTTTGCCTCAGTTAAGGTAGAAATACCTCAAAGTCATCTGCTTAATCTACTTTATAATTCTGATCCATGAAATGCTGATATTAAGTGATCTCTTAGCGCATTTACATATATCCACAGTCCAAAATGCACAATTCAGAGTTAAAATTTAGGGGTTTATTCCATTTAACTTCAGAATGATGATTCTGTTCAAAAAAACATGGTGTCATATAACTGAAGAATGGCAGTATCTGTCATATAAATGAATAACTGCATATTTGAAGGCATAAGGTTAAATTTAAGATTCTAAAGCAGCAACACTTCTACATGTAAAATTGTAGTTTGCAAGACTCCAACAGGGTTTCTAAGGGATGTATGAAAAATCTAGAAGTCTTTTAAATCAAATGAAGAAAAGCCTACGTTTTTTAATAAGCAGTGAAATGCCCATGGTAGCTGTACCTAGCATAAACAGTGAAGGAAAGAGCAGGAGCCACTGTTATTTGTTCCTCTTACAGAGTAGCACTAAAAATGTTTTTAGTAAGGATGCCAGTTAAACAGAAGACTGCACAGTAAACTGAACAATGTCAGCTGCTTAAAGTACTGTCATCTTTGGATAGAAAGTAATCACAATGACATCTCAGACCTCAAAGTAAGGAAAATGAACAGCACTTTATTTGCACAGTAGCTGCACTGAAGAAAAGCTCTGAAAGGCCCAAGCTAATTCTTAAAACCTGCATTTTTTTTTGACAAGAAAAATTTGAAAATTTCTATCTACAGAAACACAAAGTTTTGTACCACCCGGAAGAAGAGTACGTATTCTCTAAGTCACTTTTGTTATTTTCACCTGAAAATACGACAGACTTTTGCATTAAATTCCTTCAAACTATTCCATAACAAAGTTTTAAACCTAACATTCCAAATCCCTTTCAGCTGAAAGGATCTGAAAGTTGTGGTGAGGAAAAAGCCAAGTATTTTTATTTTACACCTCTCTTGCTTCAAAATGAAGCATTTATAGAAAAGGTTTCAAAGAAAAGTAATTCTAATTTCATCAACATATTTCTTGTCTTGAACATTATCACCGACCTTCAAGATTAACTTCCTATGAATAAGACAGTTCTTGTAAAATGTTTGGCCTATACAGATTTAAGTCACACTTATTATGATTGACTGTCCTTATAATAAAACAATGTCCTCCAACAAATTATCTCATGAGATCCCAGTAACAAAAAAAAATTCTAGAGGCTAAGGGAGGAAAAGAGAAAGTGAGCTGATAAATTCCTGAAGCTGGTCAAGATTTTCAGCAGCTGAAGTACTACCTTATGAGGGACTGCAAACCATGGATATTTTTCATAGAATGTATGCCTTTTCTTTGTTTCACAAGCAGATATAATAAAAAATAAGATGTCCAAATGAATAAGCATGAATGTTGTTCACTTATCATGATAAGCATGAATGCTGTTAACTTATCTCTCACTTTCAGAAATACATGTAAAACATGAAACAATCCTCTTAGAGCTGGATAAAAGTCTGTCATTTTTATATCAATTTTTTAAACAGAAGATTACATCAACGGCTTTTATTCTTACAGGACTCTTCCATGTGGATATTAGAGGAATATTCTGCAAAGCTGATGAAAACAAAGAAATTATGATGATGACCTGGCCACTGTAATGAGCTGTTAACTACTTAAACATTTTTGCAATTTAAGGTAATGGTACAGCCCAAATTCACCTTTTATCTGAAGTACCCAGAAAAATTCAGTGAATACATTTCCAAAAATTAGCTATCCTGTCAACATACTAAGCTTGCTTAGATCTATGGTAACTATTCCCAGCTCTTAAATAGAACTTTCCTCTGTGGTGGTAGGAAAAAAAGTGGACAAGAATTTTTCTCCAAAGCAACAGGGGAATGGCAAAGAAAAATCTTCAGCCTCAATAAAGGTGACTCAGAACAAAATCTGCTCTGTATATGAAAGCAATAAAGCTTTCAATATGAAGTTATTAAAAACACTGTAAAAGCTAAAAGCACCAATTGGAAACAGCAGGTAGTGTAACGACTTCATTAAGTAACAGAAATTCTATTTCTATACTGCTCTAGTGCTACAAAAAAAAACCGCAAGGGTGCAGGTATAGAACAGATAACCATTCAATTTGCTTTAAAAAATTTGCAAACTTTATGAACTCTCTGAGAGCTTTTCATGGAGAGAGATCTGCGTGGAATTTTGGATCTGCAACGGATCTGGCAATTTTTTTGCTTTTCATTTTTACTGTCCTTTTAAAGTTCCCAAGAGATCAGATCAGATCAGATCAGATCTAATCTAATCTTTAACATTTGCATCCAAACATCCAAGAAAAAACTGGGTTCATTTTACAAAAACTATGAGTGTAAGAATACAAGGTTGCAACATAGGCATAAATGTCATTCATCTTCCTAAACTTTTTAGTCAGTACTTCCTCTTTCCAAAGAATTGTAATAGCATCAAATAACTTGGAGCAATAATAGTAAAAAGGATATCTTGTGTTGCTTCTGGTTTAATGCTGTATCCTTCATCATCTACGTCAGGAAAGTTCTAAAAACAACAACAAAAATTATGCTATTGATAAATAACTAAAAAAACCCAAGTCATTCTTACATCAGACCGAATTCTACATCATTGACAAATTAAAGCTGCAACAACTCATGACAGTGATTTTTATTCAACATTATAACAATTATCTGAAGTTATGATCTGTCATTCAGAAGCTGTGTGACAAGGTATCTCACCACAAAATGTAACAAAACAAGCTCTAAATTTCCTGAGAAAACTCTGAAGGGCAAGTTTGAAGGGCATCTGCTTTAAATAACCAATCACTACTTAATTACTAATTACTCATTAATTATTAATCAATTACTTTATCAAAAAGGACAGAAATCAATATTATTTTAGCTTTAGTATTGAGTTAAATTAGGTTATAATCCTCTTGGCTCCAGAAGAATTTCCCAATTTTTACTGCTTTCAGCTAAGACACAAGGTGTTCTGATGGTGCAGAGGCAAAACCTTTCCTAAGTACTAGTCAATATTTAAGTATGCTAGCCAAAGCGCTGCTTGCAATTCCACTTCCCCTAGCAAGGGCAGCATGCCTGCACTGTTACTTCAGAAAAGAATATCCACATCACAGGTGCTCAGAATTTTATTCCCAAGTTTTCCTTTACAAATTTCCAACACTATCCTGAATCTTAAAAGCCAATAAGCATCTGGAACTTAAGTTCTGTATGTCTGTTCTTGTGGGCAATTAAACATAAATTGACAAGAATGACGTTAAAATAACTTAGAATGCTCAGCTAAGCATATAGTTTCATTAAAATAACTTTGGGACAGAGAGGAACAAGTCTCCAAGTTAATCTAAATTTTAAAAATGCACAAAACCCCTGCATCATGTGTTACATATACAGGAAAAATGTGGATATGTAGATACTTTCCCCACTCAGAACCAAAATAATCCACTCACAACTTTGTATGCACAGGCATTGTATGTGAACTGCTTAATGTCTCAGTAAGTTTATCACAAAAAACCGCAAACAAGGTGTCTTCAAAATGCAGTGATTTCAGTAGTTACTAATATGCTATAAAAATTAGAATATGTATACATATAAAAGTAATTTATTCTAGTGTAGCATCAGTATATTTTATCAGAAAACAGGTACTGGGAACCAATTTGACCAACAGATATGTATACACAGTACGGCCAAAACCATAATCTGTTAGAAGTCAAGAGATACAACAAAATGACTTATGCTGGTGATTTCAAGTGGGCAAGAAAGGAACCTCATGACTTCAGATAAAATTTGAAGCCAAGTTTAAAGAGAATGTCTCTGAACAGCTTTGGAAGTATAGAGCACGAACATTTAAATGATTCAAATGTAGTTATCCTTCTGTATCTTTTACAGGTATCACAAATGGGATGTCTGATAATTCACTAAGAGAAAGTCTCTTCTGTACAGTTCCCTAAATTTAGCACTTCTGAAATAAATGGAAATTACATATAGCTCAAACTTTCTGCTAAGAAAAGTATAAGAAATACAGTCCTGTACAGATGCAAATTAAATATCACATCAAAATAAATAAATAAATAAATACACCAACAAAAAAGTAATAACAGTACAATCACACGGTCCAATACTTTAGCTCTACTTGCTCAGATCAAGGTTCTTAGCTACGCTTGACCTCAAGCTGACCTTGTTTATATACCAAAAACCACTAATGAAACTTGACATCAAAGTAAACAGAACAAAACCCTATAGCTACAGAATAAGTTTATTTTCTTGTAATGTTACAAATTCTGAATTCTGAAATTAATTTATTTGTCACACCAGGTGATTTTCCATAGATCAAGGACATTCATGGTCAAGACGAATTGAAAATCAATAAAAATCTTTAAATACACAACAATTAATTTTTCTTAAAACTGGGCCATATATGTACAGGATATGATTACTGGGCTGACACAGCATGCACAATGTAGCTGGCAAAACTCACTGTTTTGATATTAAACTATGAGAGAACTTAAGTTTGTAGAAGATATTTTCATTGTATTATTTTTAATTTACTGAATAATCTCTAGGATTAAGAAAGAACCGAAATCTTAAAATATTTAACTTTCTTTCTTAATACTTTAATGACAATTATTTCTGATCTTGATAATGTACTTGAATCATCTATTCCTGAGAAATAGCCCTTCAGCATGCAGTCTGTTTTCACAACTTCATGTATATAACAGAGATGAATACCATACAGCTTAAGTTCCGAACACAGGAGAAGAAAATTCCTTCCTTCTCTTTCAGCTAGTCTATGCTACCACTTCTTTTCAAACTCTGTGCAGAAAACCAGAAAACTTAATTTGTAGTTTTTTCCTATATTTGAAATTTAAATACGTGGATTTAAATAATTTCAAACATCTCACATGAAACAGCATATACACACATAAATAATATGCCTTGTATTTCCAGCCTTGTCAGCAATTTAGATTGATTGGATCTTGTGCCAATTTATGATCATTAACACTTGCTTTAATTAACTAGATACTGAATTTATATTTTTGTATAAACCAATGCAAAAAATGGGTGGAATAGATACTTGAAACACCTTTGCATAGACAAAGGCAGATTGTGTCTGATTACAAATTACACAAGTAAAATGATACTTAACAATCTTACAAGTTGACAAGTATTTCAAAATACTGTTCTTAATATTTTGAATGGTTGAACTGATGAATATGCTTTCTGAAATACCAACATTTCATTTGCAAATTTACATTTACTAACAGGAATAGATAACACAGCAACCTGAGAGAGACACATACTCATGAATCTGATGTTAATGAGGCATTTACATTTATTTGTCTAATGTTTACCCCCTTTTCTACACTCCTACAATTACAGAACTACATATTATGTCATGAATAACAGTGTATCTTAAATATCAGGCACACAACACAGGTAAAATCTGATTTGCCTACCATGCTGATCAGAGTTTAAGTTCACAACCTACATATATAATTTTTGAACTTCAACACACAAAGATGATGATCTTTGCAAACTTCAGTCTTTGGGAAAAGTTATTATTAATAAAATGGGGATGGAGGTCTGCTTTAGCCTCTTACACAAATATGTGCAGTGTTCTTTACAGTCAAAAAGCTCCCAACTACCTCATTATGCATGTGAACTGAACTCTGCAAAGCAACTAGAAAGAACGCAACTGCAAAAGCAACTGCACCTGGTGGACTTCCAGGAAGCATTTCTGAGGTTCTGTTAAGCAACTAAACATGTAGCTGTAAAAGCCAGTTTTCCCTGTGTTTGCAGATGTAATGCATTAATTGTGATCTTATATAGCTTTAAACATACACCAGAAACTTAGGTCATATACCTTTGTCTTTGCTGTGCGCATATTCTACAATCTTTATGGGGTTAATACATTTTCAAAGAAATAAAACATCAGGCCTTGATAAATAAAATTAAATTTCCTGTGTAAGAAGCTTGAGGACCAAGCATTCTATTAATTAAACACATTTTTCAGCTTTGGTGAATAATTTATTTCAGTTTCCTTGCTCTGTCCCATCTGTCATTTAAAGTGATTGAAGAAGCCACACCATTACCATGTCATTAGTGTCTCTGGGCTACATACAGAGGACAGGGGACTAAAGGGCTAAATGATGTAGCTAGACTACAGAGCACTGTGGTATAGCTACATCATTTAGCCCTTTTCAACACTAGCACTGCTGACAGGCTGGTCACCAGTCCAGAAGCAAAGAACCTTCACCATGCCCCAGTTTGATTTCTTTATATTTTCTCTTCTCCTGGAATAACTACAGTGGTTATGAGAACTCTTTATTAAGTTTTCCTGAGGGTATGCTTCAAGATGCAATATAGCTGAACAGCTCATTCTATTTTTTTCTGCAAGAACTCAACTGGCATCCTGTAATCCGGATGAGGACTCAAAGTAAGCAGCTGAAGCACATAGGCTGGAACAAGAGAACAAAAAGGCTCTCCACTTCTGACATATTTGAGGTGTAAATTTGACTCTGACATATACTTAGGTTAAGACAGAGGCATAATATTGGCCTCCTCTCCTTAGGGTGCCTATTAACCCAAAAGACACAGAAGAAGAGAGCAGACAGTTTCTCCTATTGTTAGAAATGCAGAAAGAAAGAAAAATGGGAATTCAAAGTGCCCCTTTCTTGTGCTGTGACAGAAAGCCTTTTCCTCAATAGTAACTATTTGAAAAATGCCAGAACAAAATGCTGTAAAATGCAAATAAAGAAAAATACTTGAATTTCAATTAATATTAGATTACACTTGTGTTCCACTTTTCAGAAACTGATGGTTCCAAATTCAACCAGTCCCCAAAAATAAAAAAATGGTCTATAATTCTATATAATCTCACATATTAAGAGGTTAATGAAAAGTTTTGGATGCCTTGATATGTGCTTGCATTTCAGTTTCCCATGGAATAAAAATCTTTCAGCATTATGTTCTGTACATCCGTGACTCCCTTCTTAATTACTTTTGAACTTACTGGACAATTTCAAATGGATTTGACAGAAAGAACAGAGAACTCAAAGATAATTACATTACTACAGTATTCATGAAAATAGGCAGTGAAGTACAAGAAGAAGATCGGCAAGCATCCTAACCAAGGGAAGGGTTGCAATTCCAATTCAGATCTTACTGGACACAAGTGGAACATTGTAAATGTTTTCCTGAAATAAAAGCTTTTATAGAGCTCATATCTTCCTAGAGAACATCTCTAGAGACATGGCAAACTCATGGGAAACAAGACATTTCAGCCTTTAGAAAAATGTTCTAAGGCAAAACCCCCATACAAAGTCAGTCTTCTATCTCTTTCAAGAGACACTTTCTACTACAGACTTTCCACTTTTCTCAATTATCAAGGTTTAGCTTAATGGAAGTTACACTATAGACTGACATATAAAAAACTCAAGAATTTTAAATCTCATGAGATACTGTCACCTATATTTAAACAGAGAGTGCTTATTGAAGCAGTCAGCTTTTTCAACAAATACCAGCTCTCAGTTCACAGCTGCCTACTGTGAGCACACAAAAACCTCTTACAGCCATTACAAAAAAATACTTACTGGAATGAATGTCTTATTAATTTATTTTCCAGTATATATAATCTGGCAGCCACAAAAAGGATGAGCATACGCGTATCTGTCTCACCACATATAAATGTGACAGGATTTTGGGACAAAAGACATTTTTGACCCATCTCACCATTTTGCCCTTGGAAACAGAACAGAAGCTTGATAGACTGTGTTACACATTTTGCACTAGTGAGAAGGCCTTCATGGCATTGACTACATAGTAGGTTCAAAGATCCACAGTAGCCCTCAGAACTGGTAGATAATATACAGAAATCAGTTCTTGCTACATCCTTAACTTGAAAATTTGCAGTATTTTTACATTGGTCTTTATATATAATTGAAGACTGGTTATCTCTTACATTCCTTTCACACAATTAAAATTTTTGACAAATAAACAAAAGCCACCTTTTAAAAAATGACCACGTTAATCATATATATGCCAGAGAGGCTTTCTGTGAGTGATCAAAATTGACAAAATAATAACTGGGACATCTTAAGCTGAATCTTCTGAAGTCTATTTCTCAGTATTTCTTAGCAATCAAACACAAATTAATATTGTTTTAATCTTTTTTGTTTAATAATAATTTTCCAAGTTAATTTGCTTGAAATGCATTATTTGTTGCAAATATCCATACAAAACATATCTTCCCAGAGATGATAGAGACTGTTCAAAGCATTTAGATTAGGTTTGAAAACTTAAACAGAAAGGAAGCCCATGAGTAAAGCCAGGAAAAATTAAAAGTATTTGAAATGAGACCTTTCAGAAGAGGACTCCAACCTTAAAACATAAAAGCATTTTGGACTGCTTGTTTGTTAAGGATGAAATGAATCTCTGTAATTTTTTCACTACAATTAAAATAATGTCTTCTGCTTTTAAAGCATTCAATCACTATACAGAATACTACTGTGGCTTGAAAAAAGCAAGCAGAAATCACAGACCAAATTTTAAATTCCAAATGCAAACATAAAATATTGAGCAGGCAAAAAAACCAAACCAAAAGTATCAACAATTAACCTAGATGATCATATGGTATGCCTCATGTAGCCAGACAGAATGCCAAACCAATTTATACTTGAATTTTTTGAACTAATTGTTTTCCAAACACATGGAGACAAAATAAGCATAGAAAATAAACACTGCAAGTCAAATCCAGTTGTGGTTCACTCCAATGACTCAACCTGAACTGTCAAATGATTTTATTTCCATGAGAAGCCTGAAAATTATAAGGATACTTCTATTGTTACTTTCTTTTAAATGCACCCAAGGAAAGAAACTTACTGTAATTCAAGATGACTGCACAATATAAAGTAACTGTCTTGGCAAGAACTACACATCTGCTCTTACACATACAGTTCTGTTATGTGGCAAAACTTAATTTTCCAAAACTATCCATTTAGAAGGATAGTTTTACTAGATAAACATATAAACAAATTTTAATATTAGGTACTAAAACCTCCTAGTTACCAAATAAAAATCAAAAAATTCACAAAATAAGTGAACTTGTAAACTTAAATTGTGTAATATAATTTGCACCTAAATGAATTAATGAAAAATAAATAAGCCTACAGAAAATCAATTAGATTGCTCTGTAAATTTTTCCCGAACATAGCTACAGTGAGTTACAATCTCTGTTATATGTTAATTCAAGAGAACATATGTGTTTGCATAAAAAGAAAAAACTAAATTAAGGAAATGAAAATCATTAACATATTTAACTTAATTTCAAACTGCCACTTACCTGAATTGACTAAAAGAAATTCTAAGGCATATCACAGATCTAACAGTAATGAAAACTAGACCATTAATAGAGTGCATCTAGAAATGCTGCATTTACAGTCATATTTTAAACAGTATATTCCTACACTCTATCGCCAGTGGTAAAGCAAAACCCAGTCAATATTAGAAGGACTTCTCAAAAGAAACAGTAGTAAGCAGAGGAATATGACAACACAAAGTTGAGTCCACAATAAACTACATCTTTTTTCTTTCTTAGAATCTATTAGCCAAGGAATTCAGACTATTAGCTGAAAAATAAAGTAACATATACTTGCAGTGAAAACACCTTGCTTAAAACCTAATATTATTAGGAAACAAAAATGTATTACTGACACTTGTTTGTACATAACGCTGAAGATCATGTACTGCACAAAATTAACACTTTGAGTATGCAATAAAAATACTAAATCTTTTACCAGATAAATTATGTATTGCAGGGACTGTATGTAAGTTGAATTTCATCAGATTGTGGGGTTTGATAGTATAAGCATATGCATTTATTCTGGAAATAAGTCTACTTACGACTGAGTCTGCATCTGGACACTCCCTATTTAAAAAAAACAAAAAAAAGAAAATTTACAATTATAGAATGCACAACTTATTTTATTCACACAAAATCTCCTCCAATATTTTCAATTAACTCAAGACAGTGCATTTGACCCTTTTACCACTCATACTCTTGAAATTTTTACTTTAAATAATCCACATTCAAGTGAATGAGATTTAAGTAACAGCTGACAGCTTATGCTCAAAACACTGCAGAAAAAAAATCAGAAAAAATTATGAAAAATCAAACTCACATATTACTGAAAAGAATTAGAAATAATAACAAAAAAATCAAGGAAAGCGAGGACTACCACACTGTGTTCTGGATGAATATACTTTAAGTTTCAGGTCTTCATGGGTAATGGGTGCAATAAGTAGAAGTCACCAATCCTAATAAAATAGTCTACCTGCAAGTGCAAAATGTTTAGGACAAAACCCAATTCACAAAGAAATTAAGATTCTCTTCAGAGGAATTCAGAGCTTTCTCTTTTAGAGTTTCATTCTTAGTTCGTGTTTGTCAAGCATAGTTGCAGTCAAGTACTAGAAGATGCTGAACAAAATAACTGAGTATCCTCCTAGAAAGCACTTCTAGGAAAAAAAAAGTTGTCTGCAGGAAGGCAGTGGTTGCAAGCACATTATTCACAAGTGTTAAACTTTTCCACTGCAACTTCAATTTGAGTAGAAGTACTTAAAATAATGAATGACACTATTCTCTCTGATGTCTTCAAAAACCAGAAGCAATTACATTTCCAGAACATGGGAATACTTGAGTAGCGCACAAGTCCTCTCTAATTTGCACCCTGAAAAATCATGACGGTGCAACTGAGCAAGAGTGTTTTTATATCATTAGTCTGAACATCCTACACATGCATGTATAGAGCAAAGAACATGGAAAAACCAAAATGCATTGTAATCTAAAACATCTTCTCTGAAAAAATAAATAGGCTAAAAGTAAAAAATGTATCTTTTACTACAGTGTGTTAAAAACAGGGGCAAAAAACTTGCTAACATGGAAGCATTAATACAAAATTCAGTACAGCTTGTTAAGGAAATGACAGTGAGATGAAGGACTTCATCTTCTCTGAAAGGCCTGACACAAAAGAAAACATATGTGATCAAATTTCTACTTGGTTTACATCTTTCATAGCAACAGAGCTGTTCTGAAAGATATTTTACTGCTTGAAAAGACAAAGCATATTCTTCTCTTAAGAGATATGGTTTCAAAAAGTGTCTGTATGCAAACAAGATATATATATAGCCTGAGGTACGTAACAGTTGAGAAATGTGAAATATAAGGCAAATGAATGAATATATTTCAGCCCACAATGAAGATTTCCAAAATTAGTGAGCCAAGATATCTTAAACAGAAATGGCAGATCTAGACTCAGAAGAGTATTACTGACATCTCCCAGGATCTGTTCTATAGATGCAAGGAAAACACAGCCGTTTACAAATGCTGGTGAGGTGGAGAACAAGGACATCAAGCGGCAGAGAAAAGTACTTTTAAATCACTAGATTTACTAGATCATTCCTTTTAAATTAAAGAACTGGGTCATGCTTCTGCTATAAGGCAGTGTTTCAGAAAAACAGAGATTTTATAAGGGAATTTAAGGATTCTAGATAAAAACTGAAACAAACACATAATGCAAAGCAGTGGTTAGAAGTGTGATCCCTGGCTAAACTACAGCAATATATAAGAGAATGCACCCTGTGTGGTATTTCCCTGAATTAAAACCATTACTAGACACACCGGTTCAGGCATCAACAGTTTAAAAACTATCTTGACAAACTGAAAAGCCTACTAAACATGAGAGTTTTTCTAGATTTAGAAAGCTTGCCCTAAACAAATGAAACAAGCTCACAGACTAATATACACAAGTCCAAGGGAGGACTTGATTTCTCTGTGCAGAGAAGTTTCTGATGACAGTTTCATAATTTCCAGTCTGTAACAGGATCATCAGCTGAAGATTAAATCAGACAAAATACAGACTAGCAATCTATATCTCTAAAGAGATCATAAAAGAAGTATTAAAATATATTATGTAAACACATAATGAAGCCTCTGTTATTTATTTGTGATGTTCTAGTTCATTTAGTAGTTATGGTTTAATGCAAGAATCTTGGTAAATGCCTATGGCACTTTTATAGACTGTGTGAATATAGAAACAAAATACTATTAGCACCTGCTGTCCTTAGGCCGCGAGTTTTTCAGCAGTATGTTAAAAAAACTAACACTGGTAGAATAGTTTAAAAATTATTTTTAAAAAGTATATATGCAGATGTTGCCTCTGGGAATATTTCTGTATTGTCAAAGTTGTCAAATTGTAAGCTGTCTTCTTGAGAAAATACATGTAGAAATATGAAAAAAACCACACTGACCATAAATACTAATATAGATAATGTGAATAATTCCCCTCAGGATTGTTATTCAAACTCACTTTTTGCACAGATTACCTCCTCAAAGACTGAGTACATGTAAAGAATATGGCATAGGGTATATCTGGGACATCAGTCCTGATCTATAATGATGGTGTTTGAGAAGGGAGTGTGCTCATGATATACTGCATTTTTCTGTCCTTTGACGGTATATGTAGAAGTTCCTCTAACAGAAGAAGAATACCTGAAGCTTCAATTCTGCAAACACAGCCATCAAGTACTTTTACCACATACAGATATATTTTACAAGGATTAATGTGAATTACATTATCTACAAAGCTGACATGTAAAAGAATGGAAAACTACTTACCTACGCATAGGAAAGAATGGAACATGAGCTGACTACTATGAATACGCTTGTTATTTGTTGTTATTTATGTTAAAATCCTTGGTCACAAAAACTGTAAATAACTGTGATGTTTTTGTATTTATTGTGTTCCTTCAAATGGCTGTTATAAACCTTTTTTTTTGGTCAAATATTGGCTATTTTTTATCCCCATTACTAGTTTTCATATAAAACAAGGCTTCAGGGTGGGAATATACTTACACAGATTCAGTATCTTTTTCTTTTTTCATTATTCCTGATAAACCAAAAGGCTTCCTTTTCCGCGGTTTTATTCCTATGGAACAAACACTTTTCATTCATAGATCAAAGAGATAAAGGCATATTTAGCAATGTCACACATAGATGCATATGAATCCAATGTTTTAAATGCTGCCACAGGTATGCAGTGGAGATAGGTATGGAGCCACACTAAGGGAACATTATTCCAATTTGCTTTAAGTGAAATACCAATTTAAAAAAAAATCAAAATAGGGTTCAACACATTAGTTACAACATTCCTAAAAAACTGACTTGGATCTCCAAGTTGGGTATAAAGACTCTGTTTTCTTTAATAAACAGTTTTGAGGAAGAAGATTCTGCTCACAAAAACTCAATAGGATGCTGCTCCAAGTGATACTGAATAGTCATGGATGAGAAACTGAACATTGCCTTCCCCAGCTACGGCAGTTCAACAGTTACCCTGTTGTTATTTCTTTTGCCCTGTGTGCTCCCAGAAGCTGCAAGTTCCTGTCTTTCCTCAAAAGTAGTATCTTGGTCCCATTAAAAATAAGAGTGTTTCTTGGCTTTCCAGCTGATGTGAGTTCATGATTTCCTGGTGCTGCATCCAGCTCTAATACAGCTTTCTCACCGAGTTTGGAATTACACTTCTCCCCTTTTGTTTCTTCCCTGCTTTTAGCACTGGATACATACAGCTACGGTACTGAAAAAAGTATTTTCATTGCTTTCATATTGCTTTCATTCCCACTTAATGTACTAAAACTAAAATACACTTAAATATTCCCTCAGACTTACTGCCACATCTGCTTCTTTACAATGTTTGCTGAGGCAAAGCAGACTGCCAAACAAAATGACTAAGTGCAAGCATCTGATCCAGCTAGTCTACAATTTGGTTTTGATGCACGATACTACTGGCAGCATGCTTTTGAGGACAGTGGTAGAAATAATTTGGTTTCCAAAATTAAACCACTGTTAATCCAAGCACTTTATTGTATTTTACCTTTACAAAAATATATTACACAGTGCATAAGAAACCTCTCCACTCCTAGAAATTTTCAGTAACTCTAAACTTCTCAAATCAGGTAGCTGTAGAGTCAGTAATATATACTGAGGAACATAATTTTTTCCAAGATTATTTTTAATTGTCTGGGCTTTGTTTTTCCTCTGTGTCTTATGCAGACCAAAATAATGGCAAATGGAGTATGAGACTAATTTCTGAATATGGATCTTCTCTGCTTCAGTTAGAAGAGATTTTATGTCTCAGCCAAAATCTTGGCAACTTAAAAAAGCTTTTGGATGCTATAAGTTATACTGCTGACTCCTCAGTCCCACAAGTAAAGACATAGCTTATGGACAGAAAGCAGTTCTTAACCACTTTAAACAATCCCCTAAGTAAAAAAGGCTGCACCAACAAAGAAAGAATTTGCAACCATAACACTACATTAGGCTTAGTTTAACTGACACAGTAACAATGGGAAGAGCCCATTGTTTTGACACTTGCAAATTAAGCTACAACACATTCATAACTGAATCAAATCCAAACCTCTGCAAAGACCAAGTGTTAGCCAAAGTACACATGTAAGAAACACTCAAATTATCTGACTTTTATGCATTACTCTTTTAAAGCTTTTATAGGACTTGATGCCTAGAAAGGCTGATCTGGAACAGAGGCTAGACTTAGCTAAATGAACAAAATAGGTATTTATTGAAAGGCCTTAAAAGGATACGCCTTGGACACTACAAGAGCCTGGTCAGGGCTACACCCAGGATGAATCCAAGATGGATTCCGGTCGTGATTTTTATACTTTTGTAAATTTTGGTTCAACTATATATTGGGTTCAATTGTGCAATTACAGCTCCAGGTCATGAAGTCTCATGGCCTGCCCCCTTCTCTTTGCCGCTGTTTATGGTTTCTGGGTAATGGTTGTCTGTGATTCTCTACTTGGGAAGGGATTGCTTTGTCTCACTAGCCAGTGAAGAAAATCTACTAATATCTAATATGAAATTTCAGAGTTGCATACCAGACAGCAGAGAATCTGAAAAATTTAAAAGCTAAAACCCAAGGCACCAGTCTTATTGTCATTGATGTTTGTTTCTCAAAAGAAAAACTGCATTTTAGTCTACTGGAGCACTTTACATTTATACAGACTCACACACTGATGAGTACCCTTTGCTTCACAGTTCAAGTACTAATCCACAGAATTCTCGTGTAAATAACTATGCTATGGCAACTCACCTTCAGCTACACTGGATGTGTTACATTCTTCAAACTCAATAGGGCCTTAAAAAAATGACAGTGAAGATAAACATTAGGTCAAATTTCATCTTTTTTAATGACAACCAATATTTCCTGAAAATATGAGATAATCAAATCAGAAATGTTGTTAGCAAATGAAAGGCACAATTACTCTGCCAATGGCCAAAGATACTGCAAAATCACACATGTGAAGCAGTTTTTTCACTCCTTCATACTGAAAAATTAAAATACTAGTCATCATCTAACTACAATTCAATTGCCTATATCTAATTGGTGTCTTCATTCAAAACCACATTTATAATATAGCATCAGTGTAAGGTTTTAAATTTACCTTCTTTTAATGAACAAGAACTGTATAAGTAAAAATGAAAAAGGAAAAGCTTTAGCCCTAATTTTGAAAGTCACACTTTTTCTAACCCTGCATTGCTAGTTCTAGCGCTTCCTCTCCACAGCCAATAGCCTACACAATCAGAAGTGCCATGTAAAATCTTAAACAGAGCAATAAATCATTTTTTTTTCAAAAAAATCATTAAGACCCAACAGGACCAAACCAAAAGAGAACACTAGCTAAGCCCTAGATCTAAAGAAATTCCTCACATTCTATTTGCCACAAATTAACAGTCCAACAGCAGTCACTTGCCACTAACAACAGTCAGTTGCCATTGCAAATTGATGTCCTAAGCCTTATATATTCCTAAACCTAGAATTTATTTAATCCCACTCTGAGATATTTTAGGAAGCATGTGTACAGAAAACAGCATGAGTTTCTATAGGATCTTGTTCAGGGAATGATAGAATCATATCATCATACTTGTGGAAGTGCAATGAAAACAAAGAGCACATGCAGGCAGGTACCTTTTCTTCCAGCCCATGTTGGATTACCTTGTATCCGTATCCACAGAAGAAAAAGTTTAGCATGCTATCACTGTGCCACAGGGGTTATTCCTTACCTTTCTACAAACACTTTGATAGCATGCACACAAGTTTATGTACAGAAACGTGACAGATAAGAGAGAGGGGGAAAAATACTTCTAATGACTTATTTTCTTTTTTAATTATGGCATGCTCTAAGTATTAATTTATATTTACTGTAATTAAGACTGAGTTTGCAAAATTTTCCTAATCAGTAAAAACAAATTTAAATGTTTGTAAACAGCAGGATCAGAATTTTGGACTAGAACCCATCAATATCTCACTTATCATAATGTAATTGTTTGGCCTCCAAATGATGCTCTTGCAAGCAGAATATTAAAAGACAAATCTCACATAGCAGTCTTAACAGATTTTTAAGTTTCAATTAGCAAATGACTTCAAATGCAAGTCTAATTATTCAATACAGAAAGACAAGATGCAAATTCCTTACAGCTCTCTCATAAATATATGCACATTTTACACTGGTCTTCCAATACTTTTTCCTTTGCTCTTCCCTAAATCTAAAGTAAAACAAAGTCAGCATGCTCCAAAAGGAAGCAAACTTGAGTATCTTGTAAAACAAAAGAACAGAAAAAAAAGACCAGGAAAACTGATTTTTAGAACAGTACATGTCTACATCTCCATATTGATTTAATCATCATTTTATTTTACAAAATTAAACTATTGTTCACAGGATATTAAGCAAGACATTCATAAAAATGACATAAAATGTAGAAGCTGAAGAACTCAACTGTTACTTTTTCAGAACTACACTTCAGACCACATATTTTTCATCACTTTGCTAATGATTCAACTACTCCTATTTCTTGCTTCTATACATATTCTCATTTTGCTAGGAAATATCTTTAAAAAGCCAAAACAATGACACTCGTCCCTAAAGCAAAAGAAAGGAACCTGTAAACACTGAGACTTAAATATATTTTCAGTGGAATAAAATACTCAGGCTTTTTCAGAACTCCACCATTTCTTTACCCTTTCTACTAAGAGTGATCCCCTTATTTTTAAAACTTTTACACTAATGATTAAGAAAATAATGAAGGCTTAAATACAGTTTATCCATATTTCAGATCAGTATCTTAACTTCCACTTTAAAATAATCAGAAAGGAAAGATTTTCTTCAACAACACATCCAAGTTACTCTATTTTTTCCATTATGCTTGCTTAAAAGACTTGTCTTTAAAGGTGAGGTTTTTACACCTAGTAAGAATTTATATTTGAAGACACATTCTTCCTTACTACAGAAACACACAGATATCATGTGAACCAGTTACAATACAAAAACCTATTTTAGTAGAAACTTACCTTTCCTACTAAAATTTGTATAGGGCCCTTCTTCCTTCAGAATTTCAGAAATTCATGTCAGTGGCTGTCTCTAATTAGCTCAGCTGGTTAGGGCATGGTGCTGTTAACACCAAGGTTGTGGGTTCAAACCCTATATGGGCTATTCACTGAAGTGTTGGACTTGAGGATCCTTGTGGACTCTTCCAACTAAGGAATATTCTGTGAATCCAGCTTGCCCTTTTGAATGTAGTGAAATTTTTAACAGTTTTAAATTTTCTCACAAGTTTTGTTCTGTAACTTCAGACCTCCAACAGTTCTGCTTCCTATATGTCTGCCTAAAGAGCACCATATTTTGACTTGGGCATAGTATTTTTAATCAAAGTAACATTTCAGAAACAGACATTTCCTGTCTAGTGTGGCACTCTATAGTCTACTAACTTAGAAAACAGGATAGCTGTGAGAAGATTTCAACAGCCTGCATAACAGCTGGAGTCTCCTTAGGACAGATGCTTTTGAGTCCAAAGAGGTGATAACACTGCTGTCCAGCCAGAACTGTGTGTTGTCACCACACTGTCCTCTGCTAGAACTAGCTGCAGTCTCCTAGTCACCCAGAAGGCCTTGGCACACATGCTGTTGTAAGAGCATAGCATCAATAAGGAATTCAGACAGTTTCTTAGAAAGTTTTCCAGCACTGCCCACTGACAGTGTAGAACATGGAAACAAAAACAGCCACACTAGCACAGAAAAAAAAAATTCCCCAAATGTCTAAAAAAAATCCCAACTCAGAAAGCTTTCTCCTCTGTGACACCATAATACATATCTTTCTGATTCCTTAATCAGAAGTCAAGAAGTCAGAAGTTGCTATAGTCAAGAACTACCAGCGGTTTGGCATTAATGGAGATTGCCAGACAGATATAATATACAAATGGAAGTCAAAGCATGCAAACTGATGTCCTGGTATCTCAATAACTTCTGTAACAACTACATTAAGTTTTTAAGGTGGATGCATTACCTCTAGGATGCAAAAAGTTTTCAGAACAGGCTTGTGCCCAACGATTGTACTGTAGATGAAGACTTAACACTGACAAGGTGTCAGCTCAAAATGTAAATGATTACAATGGCTACAATTTTTGATGCAAGTAAACAAATTCACTGTCCATTGCAGCATTAAAAGAAAGAAAAGCAGTTGCTTCACATTTAAGAAGTAGTATTGATGCTGGGGACTGAAGTCGTTTCTGAAGCTGTCACTAGAGTTCATGCCACATGATAGCCTAAGGCACTGAAAGAACCATCTTAGTGCAGGTGATAATACTGGTAACACTGCTATTTGGCAGTACTGCAATCAAAGCCCTAAAATTTCCTTTGTTCTTTTTCTCATAACAAGACAATAATGTGAGCTGAGAAGGAAGCCCATTCTCAACCATTCATATGAACACAAAACCAAATTCTAAAACTATGGCAGTAAAAAACAAAAAGTGTAAAAACAAAAAGACATTTCAAGACTTTTTTCAGAGTAAATAAAAAGTTATAGCTGAGATCTAGTTCAATCCTTGCAAAGATCTCTGATTTAATGTTCTGTTGCAAGGAGACCACAATTTTCAAAAGTCTACTCTCCCTGCTGGTATATTAATCCAAACTTTGCCAACACTGGCTTTAACACTTTAAATACCTCTATATACACTTGCATGTATTTGATACTGTAGACACACAGAATAGAAAAAAGTTAATAAATACAGTGCATAAATGAAGGTTACCGTTTGTAATAGAAAGAGACATGAGTATCTAGTGGGATTTTCGTCACTTAAGTATATATACCTAGCTATCTGGATGCTAATGAGAAATAGTAGTATTCTAGAAAGAAAGCAGACATAAAAAATCAGTAAGCTCCTCTAATTGTACATGCAAATTCCTAGCAAGCATCATTGCAAGCTGCACTGAGTTTTTGAATGCTCACAGTATTCTAACAGCAGGGACAAAATAAGGACAAGAAGAGAAAGCAAATGGAGTATGGTTTCACAAACACATGGAGGCAGACAGCTGCTAAATGACAAGAGACTAAAGCAAATACACCAGGATTGGATCAGTTCTTAGGCTCTTGTAAATAACGCAGCTTTTGTTTGCTGGAACAGAAAAAAGTAATTTGTACAAATGTAATTTATACAATAATACAATACAGTGTAATTTAAATTTTAGTTAATTTCATAATTTACCGAATTCATAATTTCATCATTTAAGAAGTGACACTTGCATAAATTAAGCACCAGCAAGTAAGGGTGCATCTCAGGATGCATGCATCTCCTAGACTGTTCAGTAACTACATTAAATGTTTCTCTTGCTACAAGTGTCATGTGAGTATGTGAGCTTTCATGCCCTTAAAGGTTCAGTACATAGCTAGCAATAAGGAGATAATATTTTTTTGACAGACAAATGAAGAAGATGTAATTGCACTGTACATTATCTAATGGAATCTCCTATGTATTTAGCTCACATCTATGGCAGCAGTACTTTCAGAGTATATTCAAGGTAACTAAACAGAAACTATCTTTATAACCACTATACAGGTTTTCTAGCATGTCTGTATAATTTTTACATAAAACCTCTGTGAGGCAGAATGTTTTGCTAGTGTCAAAACAATAAAATAACTCCTGCTTTCCTCAATTGAGAGGAAAAAAATATTTTACTGTTGAGGATTCTTAAATAAACAAGTCAAATGCAAAAGTCAACCAACATTGCTAGTAAGGAAAACATAACATTATGTCATACCCTGAAAAAGTGCCCCAAGTACATATATCAATGAACTGGAAAATCCC